TACAACTACCCAAACCTTCCCTTCCCTAGTTCCCCATCATGTACCCACGACTTGCTTCAGGACTGCCCTGTCTCCTTGACACGCGAGAGCAGGACGAGACAGCTCTCTCATCTTTTGAGGCACCTCATAAATCACTCGTTCAAGCCCGCCCTTAATTCTTGCCCAAGGAGGGCAGCAGCAGCGGGTGAAAGCTCGCCTCGCCGTCGTCGTTTGACTTGCGTTGCGCCTCGCAAGCCGCGGGTTCAAATCAAGACCAAGCCCGTCATTTCTTCTTGGCAAAGGAGACGAGCTCGAGAGAGTCCGCCAACCCCGCCTGCGCCACACCCGACGTTTGTCCACCGCCCGCTGCCTGCCCATCGCCCGATGGCTGTCCATTGCCTGCCGCCTGCCCATCACCCTCTGCCGGCTGCGCCACCCCCCCAGCCTGCTCTACCGCCGCCGTCGGCGTGGAGTTCTCAAGAACCTCCACCACGTAGGTGGTTAAGACTGGTCGCACGCGGCGGCGGCCAAAGGAGTGTGAAGGGGGGGCGACGCCACGAAGAGTAATGCGCCACTTGGTGCCAGTATCCACCTGGCTCTGCGCACTCTCCACCGAGACGAACCTCAGGCGGGTGTTCTGGTGGGGTGGGGTGGGGTGGGGTGGAGTGGGGTGGAGTTTGGAAAAGAGAGGATACCGGTTGAGTGATGCGCCACTTGGTGCCGGTATCCACCTGGCTCTGAGCACTCTCCACCGAGACGGACTTGAGGCGCGTTTTCTGGTGGGGCGGGGTGGGGTGCGGCGCGGTGGGGTGCGGTGGGGTGGGAACGGAGCGTTAAGGGGGGTCGACGCCGCGAAGAGTAATGCGCCACTTGGTGCCGGTAGACACCTTGCGCTGTGCACTCTCCACCGAGACGAACCTCAGGCGCGTGTTCTGGTGGGATGGGGTGGGATGGGGTGGGGTGGGGCGGGGTGGGGTGGGGTGGGATGGGAAAGGAAGGGAAACACTGGAGGCTTGTCATTGGTCATTGTAACAACGCAACCATCCGGCTCCATGCGGCCTTCTCCAAGATGATTCTGAGGTGCGTGTTCTCGCGAGGTGGAATGGGGTGGGGAGGGGTGGGAAAAGGACAGGGAACGAGAGCACCTGAGTCGTCTCAAACTCGGGTGAGACGTTTTAATAACAAACTTGTATCAAGACTCGGTACCTCTTTCGTGTTGTGCGAGTCGACGGCGAATCTGGCCAAACCCTTCACGTGTTGACTCGTCGATGCATCTTTCACAGTAGACCAGGTGTCAGTACGCGGAGTTGCCGCTGCAGCCGACGGAATCGAGGAGAGGAGAGAAACGACGGCGACGGCGACTGCTGCGACGGCAAGGGCAGCGAAATTAACCTCCTTTCTTGCTTTGGCGAGGTTGGCGAGTCTTGGCGTGATGTGATGCTCCATGTCGTGATCGTGTTCGTAATTATAGGTGTAGTCCTCGTCTTCGTATGCCTCGCGTGCAGGTGGCGACTCCTGGATCCAAGGCGGCATTTCCCAGTCGTACTCCATGCGTCCGACCGACAGCTCGTCGTATGTTGGGTCGTTTTCTTCTTCGTCTTCGACCGACCCTTCAGGACGCTCTTGCGGTGGATCTACGAACATGTCTTCCCAGCTGCGGAAGAAGCGGTAGTGTCGGTTGGGACGAGGCGGACCTCGACGCACCATGCAAGTCAACACCTTGCTTTTGCCTTTGTCGGTTGTGTTCGCAGGGATGCGCGTCGGAGCTTGGGATGTGCTTGCGACGGCTGGTGGTGACACGATCTACTTGCGCGCTGGAGTTCTTCCTTGCTGGTAAGCGGCAGCTCCCTTCTGGTTGTTGTTGTTGCCGTTCAACTTCCAGCAGTCTTGGATTGTGTGTCCAGTCTTCTTGCAGTACTTGCAGAAGAGTCTCTTCTTGTCTGGTGGCGCTTGTGCATAGAAAGCGATTTTCTCCTTCTTGTTGCCTCTCTCGTTGTACAGGTCCATTTCCTTTTGTTCGGAGAGGAGCGTCGAGCAGAGGGCGGTTTCGCTGACCGTTCCTTGAGTGCGAAGGAGCGATTTACACTGGCGCCATTCCGAGCTTAATCCAGCGAGAATGATTGTCACGAACATGTCGTCAGGGAAGTTTCCGCCGCTTTTCTTGAATTGGTCTCTCAGATTTCTGCAGCGGTTGATGTAGGATCCGGCCTTTTCGCCGGGGAACATTCTGACGTTGTTCAGCTGGTTAAGCAGGCGACTGAGTGTCACCGAATTTGTTGCCATGTGGCACGTGCGCAGGTGCTCCCAGGATTGTTGCGCGGGTGCCCACTCGTTCTTGAAAGGGCGAATGCTTAGCTGTTCTTCTGGCGACAGGTTTCGAATCAGTACGGTGAAGGCCAGGAGAGATTCGTTGTAGTACTGCGTCTTCTCCTGAGGTGAGCCGTTAGTCGGGAAGGGATACGAACTGTCGTAGTACATCCATATTTGAGCGCCTTGAGCTAACAGCTCGAATTCGAAGCTCCAGGTGTAGAAGTCTTGCCCGTCGAAGGGCTTTGTTGTCCTGAGCTTTGATGTTGTCAGAAACTTGTTCTGCATTGACGCCATTGTCTCGAAATGTGCTTGCTGTGTTTGAGCAGGTCATGGGGCTCCGCGATTGTCGAAGGTGAAGGATCTTTCTGATCCAGCTCCTTGAGGATCGGGAGGTCTTCGGGCGTAGCTGGAGCCGTCGATGCTCATTGGCTGATGGCTCTCCAGTGCGCTGATGCGGGAAATCAGCTGCTCGAGGAGCGCTGTGTCCACAGTCGTTGTAGTAGAAGTAACATTAGTGGAAGGTTGTACTGGGGTTTCTCCAGTTTCTCCGCAGTCGGCGCCTGGCATGATGCTTGCCCTTATAGTAAATTATGCAAAAGGTTGTCCTTGTCAAGAGACCCTTTTTTGCTGTTCCTATAATCCAAACTAGCTCTCATACCATGTTAGAGTGAGGATCTTGGATAGGATAGGAAGTGCCTCTAGGAGAGTTTGGTAGCGGAAGTCTTGGTAGGAACCTTGATCATAGTGAATGTAAATGACAAAGTTATTTGAAAGGATAGAATACAAGCAAATAAATAGTCCTAACTAGCCATGTACTCTAAGGGGTACATTCCCTTATTATAACTGTTTTACAGGCAGTACAACAGTGACTCTGACTGTTGCATTTCCTTTCTTGTTACCGAGTCGCTGCTTGTAACCGTGCGTGCGGTTACGCCTGTTGACATTCCTCGATGGTGAGTCAATCGTCGGTCCAGATGGTCAACAGTCGCGACAGTTGACTTTTGCGCCTGTTGACCTTCCTGCCTTTGGTATAGGCTGATCCGACTTTTACTGCTCGCGCTGCTTCGATAGTGACTGGTGCGATGTAGCTGCACCTTCGGGAATGCTTAAGTGTATTCCCTTCACACTCCAACACCAATATCTGGCTAGAACCGCTGGACCGTCCGTTTGGGTTTCGGACTGTCCACGGTTCACATTTCGAACCGTTGAGAAGAGGAAAAAGTGTCACAACGGTTTGAATTGTTGGCGACGTCGCACAAGCTTTCACGAACATCCAAACGACGTTTTACGAAGCAAGTAACCCTTCGCATACCCGGCAGGGCTGATTTTATCAGGGTAATTACCCTGATTTCAGGGTGATTACAGGCTTGTCACTTGGTGGTCCCTGCCATTTCAGAATTTGTGACTTGTAAACTCTGATCCATTCAGATACCGTAAGGACTTTAGCTAACCCTGAAATCCTCAATCCAGGCTCAGAGTAGTGTTCTTACTGACTCTGTCAATGTAGAATACGCGTCCTGTTGACCCTGAATGAGAGGGTATCTGGACGAAGGTTCCTGGAAATTTCCTTCCGATATCCCCCTTCGGATTGATCGTGGTACAGCCAGCGCGTGAGCGACGCACAGCAGCATGTCTAACATGTGAGTACACTCAATATATGATATTTTCACGCATTACGAATAGGTCGTTGTACTGTCGCAATTGCGCGTGCGTGAAGTTACCAGACATTTTTAGTATTTCGCACAGCGATGCTGGCGATGTTCGGGTACTTGGCGAATTAAAAACTTGGCGCATTTGTGGTATCGAATCGAAATGTTTGGTTGACCGAAATCGCTCGTCTCTTCCCCGCACGCGTGGATAAATACTGTTTCGTAAAACTAAAAGGGTGAAAATTAGCGCGCACAAGGTGTGCGCGAAACACAGAGCGCAGACTTGACGCAAAGCGAGACTTTTCCCCGGTAAAAAAGGGTGCGTTAACTCGGATATTCGATTTTCGACCCTGAACAATCAGAGTTACATACTTTTCAACCATGAGCAGTCAGGGTAGCATTATTCTGAAAAATGTGCACTCATAGTAGAGGGGAAATTTTTTCCCCGGAATCAGGGGGGCCTAATATGAAACGTCAGCCCTGATACCCGGACGGTCTACAGTTCGAACCGTCGGGGGCAAAATGGTTACACGCCCTTAGAGAACCACTGCAAAAAATGTAACTGCGGAAACACAGCTGCTGCTGAGGGCAAACTGTTGACCAGTTGGAGCTATGACCAGCCTTGGCGGAATAATGCTTTTGGTAAGTAAATGAAGGCTGCAAGAGTTGACGTGGATGATATTTTGGTAATGAAGAGGATGATTTGTAGCTTCTCGTAAGATTGCGATGAGACAGATGCGGGTGGGGCAGATGCAGTGCAGGTGGGGCAGATGACGCTCTTCCTTGATTACCGCATGCTCAGATACCGCGGCTTGAGTGCGTGCACCCAAGTGCAGCCATGCATAGGGGATCAGGCAGATGGTGCTGCTACCACCATACACCAACACTCACTAGTAGTCACAACAACACGCTCACCGCGCACTCAGATCCAGCGGCTTGAGCGCATGCACCCATAGGTGTGGACTTATGTACACGGTATTCTCCCCATACATGCGCACATAATAGCGTGTGCGCATAAACGCCCCCACCCTCAACGGTAATGGTAACACCCCCCCTACTCGTTCACCGCACGCTCAGATCCAGTGGTTTCAGCGCATGCACCCACACGTTGGGGCTGAAGTACACAGTGTTCTCGCCGTACGTGCGCACGTCATACCGTGTGCGCGCACACACCCCCTCCATGCACGCGGCTATCCCCGGCGCCAAGTCCTCATGCACCTCCACTGACACCACTGCCACGTCACGGTGCCACCCCCCCGCTGCTGCTGCTGCTGCATCTGTTGTTCCTGCTCCTGCATCAGAGCAGAACACCTCTTTCTCAGCGCCCTCAATGTCAATCTTCACGTAGTCAAAGCGTGGCAGCTGCATGCGCTGCAGCAGCGACGGCACCGAGACAGCGGGCATGCAGGGGGAGGGGGAGGCAGGTGAGTGGTTGGCAGCAGCAGGTGACGGTGGTGACAGGGAATCCGCTCTGCTGCCGGGTTGCTGCTGGTGCTTCGGCCCTAGTTGCTGATCCTGCTGCTGCTGCAAAGACTGCTGCTGTTTCTCCTGCTCTTGATGCGCTTGCTGATCCCCCCCCATCCGCGCCTCCCCACACGCGTGTGTCTCGTAGGCCCAGAAGCCCTCCCTTCGGCCCGCAGTGACAGCTATCCGGGTGTCTTCTGACCAGAGGGCGGCATTGACTGGCAGTATCTGGGGGAGGTGCTTCACATTGCGCTGCAGCAGGGCGAAGTTGTCCCGTGCCGGCTCCACTGCCACTATCAGCGCATCCGGGAAACTGCTCAGGAAGGAACGGTAGGGGTGGAGAAGAGGGGAAGGAGGGAGGACGAAGAGAACACAATGAGGACGGAGGCTGCGGGGGGGAGTCCAATGTGCCGGCTCCACTACCACTATCAACGCATCCGGGAAACTGCTCAGGAAGGAAAGAGAGAGGAGGGGAGGAACGAGAAAGGGCGGGAAGTGGAGTGGGGAAAGGGGAAGCAATGGGGAGAGACAGGGTTGGTTCATGAAAGGATTTCGGTTAACGCTGATGAGAGAGAGATCAAGGATGGTGGAGGAACAGGGATGGTGGAGGAACAGGGATGGTGGAGGAACAGGGATGGTGGAGGAACAGGGATGGTGGAGGAACAGGGATGGTGGAGGAACAGGGATGGTGGAGCATGTATCAGCAGCATGTGGCATGCATTCACATCTCAATCCCATCATACCGCATGGCGAAGATGAGGGACGCGAGCCCGATGTTGGCGCCTGCATCAAGAATGGCGGCTGGGCGGAAGTGGGGGAGCAGCGACGCGCGCAGGAAGCGGAAGGCGCGCGTGTCGAGCAGGTGGTACAGCAGCGCCACGTCGGACGACGCAGGGCGGACCCACACTGCCAGCTGGCAGCCAGCTCGCGAGTCGGAGCAAGGGAACCAATGGGGTGGCAGATACACCGCCACGCATACAGGCTGGAAGAGTAGGAAGGGAGCGGATGGGGGTTGAAGGGGTTGGAAAGAGAAAACAAGAGTGAGACAGTCTCAGTGACTGAAGCAGACGCAACATGAATACCAAGGCAGAAGCTTACGTTTGAGCTCAAGCAACGTTTCATATGCTTTCCACCCATCCTTGCACCATCCCATCTTCACCTCTTCACCCCCTCACCTCCGGTTCGTCACCCCCCACCCCCGCCTGTCCCCTTCCGCGCTCCACCATCCCCGCTAGAAGCATCTCCAGGTACGCGTGCTGCATCCACTCGCTGCCGTTCGTGCTGTACCACACCGAGTCCCCCTGAAACCCGTCCTCCGTCTCGCGCGCGGGAGTAGCGGGAACCGGCCACCCGCACAGCTCGCCACCACCTTCACGCTTTCCCTTGCGGTCAGGATAGGAAGCTTCGTCGTCTTCTCGAGAAGCGTCAAACGGTTTAGCTCCAGCCGTAGTGTCAGCGTCAGCTGCGGTGGTCAGCCGTGATCGCGCGGCGGAGGCTCGCCATTTCGCCAGTCGCGCGTGCGACACTCCAGGGAGCACCTCGTCATCGCGCAGATCCCATGCTGATTCCGACGAGACTCCGCTGCGGGTAGAAATCGTCTCGTCTGAAGAAGTCACTCTCCCGAATCCTCCAGGGAGATCGTAGCGTGTAAAAAATCTTGGCGGCTTTGGCTCAGAGTGTGGAATGACTTGACCAATGTAGACTAGGGTGGACACAGCGGAGAATATGAAGAACCCCAGCACGAAGGGGTTGGGGGAATGTGGTCGGTGCTCAGTGCAGGCGCTGACGCGCAGGCGAAGTGCGTGCGGAAGGCGACTTTGCCATCGAGTGGCTCTTGGGCTAACCATCTGGCGGGAAATGCGGCGTCATGTGCGACGCAAGCAATCCATGAGCAGCTTGTGAGAACCACCTCCATCTAGGGAGCTCGCTGGTGGTGATTTAGCTTTCACATCTTGTAAATACTAACTTGAATCCTATAACATGCAATAGTGATGCTTACAACTGGATCCGCGATTACGGCGAGTCGAAACAAGACGACGGTGGCGAAAACTGCGAGTTCGTAACCCACGTTTCTGCTCGTTGATTTGTTGAAGCACATAAAATACAGCCACCACGACGGGTTACTACGCAATATTTGAATGGTCCCAGCATATTCCCCCTCCAAGGCGAGCAAGCGAAACTGTTGCGAAAAAGTGGGAGGAGGTTCGTTCGCATCCCAGGTTCGTACCCTGTCAAGTGGACGACACTTGGCGCAAGTGTCTGGATGTCACCCGTCACATCAAAATTTGCCGAGCGCTTTCCTCGGCGCTGTTCTACAGGCGTTATCGGTTCCACATAATTTGTGCGGGCAGGGCTTTCATCGTGGTTTCACGGCGCATCCAACCTGGTGTGGTTGCATGGATCTTGCGTAGAAGTCCAGCATCATCCCAGCCGCACCTTCGCATCCTGGCGAATGTGTGCATTTCGGAGGCTGGTACTGCCCCGCATATGTTGTGCGGAGGCTGATGCTAGCTCCCGAGGTAGAATCAGCACCGCACAAATGGTGCGACCTTTTGCGCACCAAAAGTGGTGTTCTGCAGGCAGAAGCGTCAAAATTGGCGCAAACAGGTTTGGCAAGAACGCCCTTATCACCAAACCTGGATAAGCAGGAAGGGCCTTATCAGCGAATTTTCTGCGGACCCGGTTTCTCGCCAATAAACGCCTGCAGAACAGCGCCCTTGCCAAGAAAAGTTAGTGCGGCATGTCAGAAGGCTCACACAAACCGAAGGTTAGGCTTGAAACCTACGTGCCGCACGTCCCTAACCAGGCCGGAGCTGCAGCTTTGGGCGTGTCAAACATGGCTCGGGCTCCCCTTGGCGCGGAAGTGAGCTCTGGGGACAGAAAATGACTGGTGGCAGCAGCAGCTCTGCCATTGCCTCTTGCGCAGTTTCCGGGCAGACAAAAGAATCAACAGATGCGACTCGCTTCTCCAAGCCGCAAACATCGAAAGGCAACAGCGAATCAGGATGAACCATAACCCTCAGAAATTGCTACCAAACCATTCCCCGAGCCAGCTTCAAGCTTCTGTTCTGTTACCGAACCTGGCTGTTTTCCCGCGTCACATCACGAGCCTACGCCATACGTGCCAACGAACCAGGTCGAGTCCGTTTTTCCGCACCCAATTTGTTTCTTCCCCACCTGCCCTCGGCATCTTGCACAGTTAGATCTGAAACACCCTGACCACGCAGAACAGTGCTGAACCGCGCGGGAAGTGGTTGGCGAAGGGAAGCGAACACCCTGCCATGGCTTCCATCCCACACCACACAGCTTTTTCTCGTCTCCTGTCGTTACACGCTCGACAACAGGAAAGCTGCTTCTCGTTTCTGCCCACTTGGTCTCAGAGAGACACTTCAGTGGCCTGTCGTTAGTTTCTCGTGGCATCGGCCTCGTCGAAACTCGACAGGGCATGCAGCATTCTCTAGGAACCAGCGTCTCCGCATCTCGCGTTCATATAGCTCGCAAGGTCTTGCTCGCGTAATGTTCGTCTCTTGAAGATCTTTCTGGTAGAACCTCATTTGAAATCATAGTAGGCCTAGCAGAATGCGACAGGACTGACGGACTGACGGAAACCAGTCTTCCATCTTAGTAACCAGTCCGTCGCGCCGCGTCTCGCGATGGACGACTCGAGGGTCGGCGTGCAGCGGAAATCCGGCCTCGCGCTGCACGGCCGCAGCATCAGCGCCAAGGAGTCGAGCCGCGTGCTTCACGCCGGAGTCCACGCGTCCGAAACCCTCAACAAAAATGTCGCCGTCTTCACTCACAACCACGCATACAGCCACTACCCGCCAACGGACGAACCTAACCTAGCCTCGGTCGACTTCCGAGCCTGGCTCGCGGACCAGGTCAAGTTCAGCCAGAGCCTCGTCATCCCGCAAGTCCCGGAGAAGCCGAGCTTCCTGGAGACTTTCGCGCCGTTCCGGCTGTTGGGGCGCGTGGGGAGCAAGAAAGCGCAGTGCACGGTAGCTATGCACGTGCACGGGGTGGATAATTTCCCGAAAGACATGGAGGGGAAGGAGCTCGTCGTGCAATGGCTGCGGCGCGGCATGTCCGTCGGCACGAGCCCCATGGTGGTACACCGCGGCGTCGCGCGCTTTGAACAGACGCTGACGATGTCATGCACGATGTTCTTCAACGCCGGAGGGCAGGGGACGGTGAAGTTTAAACGGAAACCGTCGACGCTCTGCGTGCAGATGTTAAAGTCGTCCGGGATTGGCTACGTTGCGGAGCTTGGGCGGCATTCCGTGGATCTAGCGAAGCTGCTGCCCGCGTCGCTGCACGAGAAGGAGGAGGGGCAGCCCATGACGCTGAGCTTTCAGCTCGCGGGATTGGCGGAGGGGGCCGTCATGGTCGCGACATTCGGGTACGAGTTACAACTCGGCCGCGGCGTTACGTTCCTCGCGCGAGTTGACACCAAGTCGTTCCGCCTGTACGCCGCGACCGCCATCGCGGCGGCGGCGGCGGCGGTCTCGCCGTCCAGCAGTCCTCCGGGAAGCCCGCAGGCCAGTCCGCGCGGCGGAAGCGAGAAGGACGAAGCTTCGCCGAAGCAGAAGAAGAAGCTGTCGTTCTCCCTGTACCAAGCGCCGGCGGATCGCTCCGCGGCGCCGCAGAGCGCGCGGAGCCAGGGGGACGCGCGCGGGACCCGCGCGGGCCCGCTGATGCGCATGATTTCTGGCGGAAGCGCGATGCGGACGGTGGTGGAGGAGGAGGAAGAGGAGGAGGAGAAGGAGAAGGTTGCGGTGAAAGATCCGCGCTCGGCGGGGGGACAGGCGGGCGGGGACGGCAAGGGCGGGGCGAGCGGAGGGGCCGGCGGAAGGGGGACGGCGGAGAAGGAGGCGGAGGGGGAGGGAGACGCGGTGAACTTGGCGGATGTCTTGGCGGAGGGGGAGGGACTGAACGACGAAGAGGAGGAGGAAGAGGAGGAGGGAGAGGGAGAGGAAGAAGAAGAAGAGAGTGATGATGAGGAGGAAACCGACGATGAGGATGAAGAGGATGATGATGAGGAGGATGAGGAGTACGAAGAGGAGGAAGAAGAGGAGGAGGGTGAGAGGGTGGAGGTGAAGAAGGTGATGGGGGGTTATGCGGTGCAGAGGGATTCGGGGGAGGAGCGCACGGTGCGTGTGGACCCAGGCACGGCCACCACCAGCGCCGCCACCACCACCACCACCTCGACGACGACCACCAGTGGCCGCGACGCGTCGCTCGATTCGGCGAGTTCCGCGGGCGAGGGCGGGCGGTCGCGCATGGCGCAGGCGATGCTGGAGTTTGAGTGGACGCTTCAGGCGGAGCGGAGCGCGGAGGTGGCGGAGCGGAAGGGGGAAGAAGGGTCCGCGAAAGGGCTGTTTGGCAGCGACGAATACGGTTACTCGCCGGGGCGCGAGTGGGCGGACGGCGGCGGGGTTGTGAAAGCGGCGGGGAATGCGGCGGAGAATGCGGCGGGGAATGCGGCGGGTTTGGAGGAGGAGATGGATCTGGTATCGGACGAGTTCCTCGAGCTGCTCATGCAGTCCGGCGCGCTCGACGGCGCGCCGGGGAGCCTCGACGGGTTTGGCGGCGGAGAGGACGGGGAAGGGGAGGGGGGGGATGGGCGGGAGGGGGGGCTGCTGGGCGTGGCGGAAGGGCTCCTGAGCCCCGCGCGGCAGGCGTCGAGCCGCGTGGGCAGCAATAGTGTTGGCGCGAGCGAGCGCGAGTGGATGGAGGGTAGTGGAGAGGTGTCTTCTCATGCAGACGAGGATGAGGAGGAAGAGGAGGAAGAGGAAGAGGAAGAGGAAGAGGAGGAAGAGGAGGAGGAGGTGGGTGGAGGCATGATGGCGTGCAATGGTGTAGGGCGGGAGGCAGGGCAGGGGGAGGATGCGGGGGAGGGGGAGGGGGACGATGACGTGTTGTCGAGCATGCTGCGGGAGGCGGAGGAGGAGCAGCAACGCGCGGAGATCGAGGAGAAGAGCCGCCGCAAGGCGCGCCTGCTTGACTCGGAGGAGGAGGCCGCGCTCATGCTGCGCTTCCGCGGCACCGCGCCCGCCGCCGCCGCCGCCGCCGCCGCCGCTGCTGAGGTTCCCTTAGCTGCTGCCCCTCCTGCCGCACCTGCCGCCTCTGCTTCGGAATCCGCCGCTGCTGCTGCTGCTGGAGGGGTGCAGTCCGCAGCGCTGGTGGTGGCGGGGAGGGGCAGGGGCGCGCCCCCTGCTGCCCCCGCCATTACCGCTTCCGCGGCTCTTGCGGCGCCTGCGCGAAAACGCTGGTCCACCGCAGGCCCGCTCGCCGCTGCAGGCAGCGGCGCGGGGAGGGGCGTGGGCGCCAACGGCGCGCTTATGCCGAGAGTAGGCGGTCGGGGGGCGGCGGGCGCGGGGGCGGGCGGAGGCAGGGGGAGAGGGGGGCGGCTGACGGTGCAGGACAGAGTGCGGATTATGGAGGAGGAGCGCGCGGCGGGGAAGGAAGGGCGCGGGGGGAAGGGGTGGGAGGGGGAGGAGGAGGAGGCGGAAGCGGAAGCGAGGATAAGCGCGAGCGCGAAGGCATCCGGAACGTCGACTGCACTCGTGCCAGCTGGCAGGGGCGCGGCGCGGAAGCTGTCCACGTCAGCAGAGGTGGAGGAGGTGACAACTGGCATCCCGCGGGCGCTCGTGCGGGGGGCGACGGGGCCCCTGGGCGGCAGCGGGAGAAGCGGCGGAACGATTGAGATTAAGATGAGCGGGGAAAGCGGAATTGGGCGCGGAAGCAGGATTGGAGCAGGGGGAGGGGCGGGGCGGGGGGCGAGGGGCGCCCTGCCTGCGCCCGCTGATGCAGCAGCAGCAGCAGAAGCAGAGGCTTGCACGGCGATGGTGCCCGTGGCGGGGCCTGGCGGACTGGTGGCGGCGGGCGCAGCAGCAGGCGCGGGGAAGAAGGGGGGAGGCCGCGGATCCTCTGGCGGAGACGCGGAAGGCGCGGGGGCGATGGTGCCCGTGGCGGGTCCTGGCGGGATGGTAACAGCAGGCGGGGGAAGAGGCGCGGAGAGAGGCGGCGCAGCAGGCGCAGGAGGCGCGCCAAGCGCAATGACGCTGGCGGCGATTCAGCAGGGCGCGCTGGCGCCAGGCGCGGGGTTCGGGGGAATGCGCATGCCCTCACATGGCCCATTCACGACGGTGAACACTGGCAGCAGCGGCGCCATCAACAGTATCAGCACGCGCAGCAGCGTGGGGGGAGTCACCGCCACCACCACCACCACATTCTCCCCCTCCTTCCCCGCGTCCCCCTTCCCCCAATCCCGCTTCCCCGGTTCCGCCTTTTCCCCCGGCGCATTCGACCTCCCCCCGCTGAAGAGCCTCAATAGTGTGCTTGCGCCCACGTGCGCCGCGACGGGGCTGGCGTCCGCGAGCGCGGCGCTGTACGGGGGCGCGAGCGGGCTGGCGCAGCTCGGCGCGCTAAGGGGCGCGGACCCCATGGTGCTGGCCGTTCCGCCCACCATGGCTCCCCCCGAGCTGGTGCAGGGCATGGGATCCGCCATCGCGCTGCCTTGGGGAGGGTTTTTGACGTCCATGTCGGGGCGGCATTTCACAGAAGGGCTAGCCGGCTCGTCATGCAGGTAAGGGCGGTGGTTGGTGTGAGGTGAAGGGGAGGAACGGATGGGGAGGGGTGGGGAAGGGTGGTTGGGATAGAGAGGAGAGGGGCAGTGCCGCCCAGCATGGCGCCCCCCTAGCTGGTGCAGGGCATGGGGTCCGCCATTGCGCTGCCTGGGGGAGGGTTCCGGACTTCCATGTCGGGAAGGCATTTTACTGAAGGCGCCAGCCGGCTTGTCATGCAGGTAAGGGCGGTACCCAAGGAGATGGGCATAGAAGGAAGTGACATCATACAGAGCATGGCGGCACTGGGAATTGACGCGCTGTCGCAGCAAGCCCACATGCTCATGCCTTCTCTTCCCTCTCTTCTCTCTCTTTCCTCGCCCTTCCCCTTCCCCCACTCTCGTCCCACCGACACAGTTCTCCCGAGCAGTGGTGGTACCCAAGGAGATGGGCGTAGAGGGCAGTGATATCATGCTATAGGGCGTCTATCCCGAGTGAGCATGGCGGCACTCGGGATAGACGCCCTATACTAGCAGCAAACCCACATGCTCATGCCTCCCTCCCCCCACTCCCCTCCTCCAAACGCAGTTCTCCCGAGCAGTGGTGGTGCCCAAGGAGATGGGCATAGAGGGCAGTGATATCATTCAGAGCATCCACGTGCATAGCTCGTGCCGTCTCTTTGCCCAACTCCCCTCCCCTTCCCCTCCTCTCTACCATCCCCTCCCCAACACACAGTTCTCCCGGGCAGTGGTGGTACCCAAGGAGATGGGCATAGAGGGAAGTGACATCATACAGAGCATGGCGGCGTTGGGAATTGACGCGCTGTCGCAGCAGGCGCACATGCTCATGCCCTTGCCGGACATCAGTGGCAAGGCGCTCGAGCAGATGGCGGCCGAGGGGTTGCTGTTCCTGGATGGGGCCGGCGGTGGGGGTTATGAAGAACATTTGAGACGGCTTGGCGCGCCTCAGAGGTGAGATGTCATGCACCGTAGGAAGAGGAGGTCACTGTGAGGGGTGTATGGGAGTGAGTGACGGCAGGCGCACATTCTGATGCCCTAGCCGGACATCAGTGGCTAGAGCAGATGGCTGCAGAAGGGCTGCTGTTCCTGGATGGAGCAAGGGTAGGGGGCCATGAGGAGCACCTGAGGAGACTCGGCGCGCCACAGAGGTGAGACGGTGGCAACATGAGGTTACTGTGAGGGGTGAGTGGGAGTGAGGACGCTGGAGAGTGAAAGGACTGCTGTGAGTGGATGGGGATAGAGGAGCATCTGAGACGGCTTGGCGCGCCTCAGAGATGGAAACAGGAGGTTATTGTGAGTCAGGGAGTGAGAGTGTGAGTTTGTGAGTGCGGAAGGCATGAGTGCTGGAAACATGAATGAAACGACCTCAATCGGATGCAGCCTTTCCGCCCTCTCCTCCCCCTCCCCCCCTCCCCATCTTCCCCTTCTCTCTGCTCAGTCCTGGATTTCCGTTCAACCCTTTCCTTCTTTTTCCCTGCTCCTCCACCCCTGGTCCCTTTCCCTGCTCCTCCACCCCTGGTCCTTTTCCCTGTTACAGGAGGGCCCTTGGCGCAGCAGCAGCAGCAGCATTGGGGGGAGGGGAAAGCTATCTGGCCCTGGAGGGGCGTGCAGAGGGAAATTTCTTGGCCCTGGAAGGAGCAGCAGCAGGGATGCAAGGGGGCCAGCTTGTGCATGTAGGTGCGGGACAGCTGGCAACAGTGGGAGGAGGCTCGGCAGGAGCCTTGGCATTAGGTGCGGGCGGCGGCTTGACGCCCGAAGCTATGGCGGCGGTGGCTCGGCAGTCCGCCCTGGCTGGCACTCTGGTTCGGTTGCGGCGCCGAGGCAGGATGATAGCTGTGGCAAAGCAGAGGATTCTGCAGAAGCAGCTTCTGCTGGAGCAGGGCGGAGGGGGAGGAGAGGGGGAGGCAGGGGAGGGCGCAACTGGGGGAGGCGGAGCCAAGGAGGGGCGGCTGGCTCTGCTAAGGCGGACGGCTGGGGAACTGGCTGGTGTTGGTGGGACGGGAGGGACGGGAGGGAAGGGAGGGAAGGGAGGGAACGGAGACAGAAGGTTGCTTGCAGCGGATTTGTTTGTAGAGGAGGATATGGACGAGGAGCTGAAGAGGGAGCTAATGCTGATGGAGGAGGAGGGGTGGGAGGATGGCGAGGATGAATATGTACCGTTGGATGAGCTGGGCGCGCTGGCCATGGAGCAGATCGAACGGATGGCGTTGGAGGGGCTGAGAGTGCAGAACGACGCCTCTGATTTGCTGGCGCCCTATGCCATTGATCTCGGGAAGGAGGGCGGGGGCGGTGGTGCGCTGGGGATGGGTGGGTTTGGCGCGTTGGGTGCAGGAAGGGGGGGGATGGGGGAGTTGATGTATGGAGGAGGGGGAGGAGGAGCGGGGATGCTGACAAATGGGGGGTATGGAGGGGCGGAGATGGGGGCGGGAGGGGACGAATGGGCCATGGTGGCGGCAGGGGGGGGAGCGATGGGGCTGGCGGTATCATTGGACGAGTGGCAGCGGCTGGATGCTGGGATATTTGAGGACTTTGAAACAGAGGATGATACTCTGGCTGTGCTGCAGGCGCACTGTGCGGCGCATGGCGCGGGGGAGATGGTTCTGCATGATATTGCACGGTTGAGATCGGATCTCGCGGCGGTGAGGGGAGGGTTGGGTGGTGGGATGGGTGGGGGGATGGGAGCGGGACGGTGGCTGGCTGCGTGGGGAGGTGCGGGAGGGATGGGGATGATGGGTATGGGAGGGATGGGGGGGATGGTGGGTGGGGTGGGAGGAGGAGGGGGGGGTGAAGGGGGGTTGATGGGGGACAAGGTGACAGTGGCGATGCTGGTGCAGCTGAGGGACCCTCTCAGGAACTTTGAGCCTGTGGGTGCACCCATGATGGCTCTGCTGCAGGCCGAACGAGCCCCCCCTGCTGCTGCTGAGGATGTGGACAAGAGCAGTGGTAATGGTGCAGCAGCACTGGAGGGAGGTGCTAAGGCGTTGCCAGGAGGTGGAGGAGTGAGGAGGATAGCGTATAATCTGCACACGGGCGCGGCTGTGCGGCCCTCAGGAGGGCCCCTGACAGTGCGGAACGGAGCGAACAATCGGCGGAGAGATGGGGATCCGATTGTGGAGGAGGTGGATGATGACGAGCAGCCTGGGGGGAGAGGTGGCGTGGAGAAGGCTCGGTTTAAGCTGACTGGTGTGCACATGATGGGGCTGAAAACCGAAGAGGCGGCGAAGAGGGGATGGGGGAATCAGAAGCAGGGGCAGGCAGGGTCGAGGTGGCTTGCGGCCAATGGCATGGGGAAGAAGGGAGCAGCTAAGCCGAAGAGGTCTACGGGGCCAGTCAAGCCTGCCAAGGTGACTGTCCAGTCAGGTGACACTCTGTGGAGCTTGTCACAGAAGGTGCATGGCAGTGGCACTAAGTGGAAGGATGTAGTGAAGCTGAACCCGCACATTCGAAATCCGGACCTCATTCTACCGAACCAGCATGTTCGGATGCGCTGATCACCGGCTGCTTTGCGCCCAAGCATGGTACCACACGCCATCAGTATCAGTAGCATGTTACACTGCATCATCTTACATGGCACTAACTGTGCCTTGTTAGGCTTTTCTTTATGCCAGGAGTTTTTCCTACGCAGTGCAAGTGGTGGCTTTCGTGCTTACCTATGTATACCTCCCTGACTCTTGACATGCTTAGCATGCAGGTTGCTAAATGTAGTTCTGTAGGGGCCGTGCAGCCAATGATAGAAATAGCACCTATGGTTTGTGACTAGGACATGTATGTGTACCTAGGCTCCACAAGTGATGGTTCCTCAGTTGTGTGCTGTGCTGCAGAGGTTCAACTAATTATATTTTCATGTCCACCAGCAAGTAATGCTAACCCAACCGGTGTATGCTGTTACACCCAGACATATTTGGCCTTGGTGACAAGGTATGCTGCTGCACATCCAGTATATTCACTCCCAACAACGTTTAACACCTTTTGCCAGTCTCGGATGAAAGACGTACATCATGCCAACCAGCATTACTGGCTACATTAACCATCAAATCCAGAGTAGCTTCAGCTGCAGTATAATTGTAGAAGTCCTGGTCAAAGAAACATGCATAAGACATGGTGTGGTAACAAATGGACGCACAAACAGGGGATACCAGTACGTACTGGGGGGTTGAACACGTGATCTGGATCATACTCGTGAAGATGTGCTGCATCAATAAGTAAATCTCCAACAGACCGGGTTCTTCCGAAATTACTGGGCCAATCCAGACGATCAAATATTCTAGCACCCGAAAATGACCTGCCTGCGAGGAAAATGTTTCTTTCCATGGCTATCTGCACAAAATATATGTTAGCCAAGAGAACGACGAGAACTGTATGTATGCGAAAGAGTACAGAGGGAAGCAGTCACCTGAGCATGGCAGGTACTACCAACTCCATACAGTCCCCAATGCTGGAAGACATTATTATATACGTGAACCAATCCTGCAACAACTCGGGGATGGCGCTGAACAGTCCCAGCAAACCAATTAGTATGAATGCTGACATGAAGATTCACAGGGTGGTCTTTGGATTCTTCAGCATCTGTCTGCCAAGCATGCAACACAGAAGTCAGGAAGGATCATGCTTGCAAGGCGCAATACAATACAACAAGCATTTACCTGTGAGCCAACAAGCATAACTTTGTTGTGGTGGTGAAAAAGGCTTCGTGATATCGTGACGTCTGTGGAGCCACGTGTTACATCGATCGCACCATCTCCCCATCTTCCAATGCTCACATGGTTGATCCAAACTCGCTGTGCCCCGTACTTCAGTTGAATGGCATCCTCTCCTCCTCTCCAGAAAATAAGGTTATTGATAATGATGTTCTGAGCACCATGTCTACTCAAAAACGACCACTCAAGTGTTACAGAACGACGAGTGCTTTGCAATTTAAAAGGGGACTTGAAGCTAAAAAAAAATGCTTGGAACCTGATATGAAGACCATTGCACGAGATGACGACGCGTTGACCACGGCCGTCTATTGTCTTGTTTGAGGCAACACCGACTGGGCTAGAGAGGCAAATTGTTCCAGAAACGTTGAACAGTATCCAGCGCGAGCCGTGAATTGTTGCTCCTTCCCTTTATCACGGCGAGTGGCAAAGATTAAGATGCGGAAAATATGGCACAAGGAAGCGAACGGCTGTAATACCTCAAACTACCAGGTCCAGAATCCGAAAGAGTCGTGACCCAAAAGAAAGGACCAGAATGCCCACCAGTGACTTCGCCTGCGAATCCGTCTGCACACTGCACCAGATCACGGATGGACTTTGACCATTGTGTTTCAGCCATTTCTCCCCGCAAGAATATGACCTGGGACCTTAAACGGTTAAGAAAATGAGAAGACACTAGCTTCAAAGGAAGAACATTCATCATTAACTCACTTTGAGGAAAAAGATAAGTAACACGACGCTTGCATGTTGACGCATACTAACTGGCCCTCCTGTAAGATCTTGCCTGTCGATGGAGGAGCGACATGTCTCGAAGCCGAACACCTAGGGTCAATAACTACTCAAAAGTTATTCAGCGTCGAAGACTGTCACGCACGAAGCCCTTGAGAAAAGGGTGTCGCTACGAAGTACATTAATACGACGAGCACAGATAACATGCACTCAAACTAACGCGCCTTGACGAGTTGAGAGTACTGCTAACTTCGTGCAAGCACTGGTTTCAGAAATGGCTTCTATCCCACATCACGAGGAGTCGCCAAGAGTTCCCCTTTTGTTCAGTGGAAGTCGTGCACCTTGAACGGTTCTCGATTTGGCTTCGCACCCAGCCTGCAGTGAATGCACAAACCGCGGGGAAACCTGTGTGTGATCCCTGCCCCCCCACCCGGGGTGCGCAATGGTCTAAAACGGTGAGGTAACTAGTGCGAGTACTTTTCAGATTAAACCACAAGGTTTGTTCTGTATGTTTTATTAATCAAAATACTCATTGCCTCCTTCAAATACTCAAATCAAAGCTTCCCTGGGCCTCTGACTCTTATTGACCTGATTCAGACAGGCTAGAATAACGCAATATGCCAGCCTGTTGTAGGGATGTACATTTTGCATGCACTACAGTGGGTTTGCTGCGTTGAGTAAACAGACAGCATATTTTACATACATTGTAGTAGGTACGTATAACCCGTTTGGCCGGCCAGACAAATACAACCATGTGCCAGAAACGCACTCGCACTTCCTTCTACTCCCCATCCCCACTCATCCTAATCCTCATCATATTCATCATCAAACTCGTCACCATCCCTATCCCTCTCCCGCTCCTCTTCACCAACCACCGGCTTCCAATTCCGTCTCTCAACCATAAACCACTCCTCCTCATCTAGCGTGTACCCCTCCATCAGCCCCCGATTCACACTGTGCATCTTGTCCCGCACCGTCTTCCTCCCATTCCTGAACGACGCGCTGCTCTTCCCCCCTCTCGGCCCCCTCACATGCGCCAGCGGTCCATGCTCCACCCTCATCCCTTTCCTTTCCCAGTACCATGTGTTCCTCGCAACGCAGTACAGCGCCAGGCAGGGATACCTCGTCTTGAGACGTGCTAGCAGGGCTGTAGGCGTGTGGCGGCGGGTTGGGAAAAAGATGGCCCGCAGATTTGGAGCGTTGATGCTTGGAGGGATGCACAGGCGGATGGAAGTGGAAGTGGGCCTGCATGAAGGCGTTGCACGCTCCACTGAACCCCCAAAAGGGTCAGATCTATCCTCCCCTGAGCCCTCATCATCTGAATTCTCCTCATCTGATGACTCCTCATCCGTACCGTAAACTTCATCGGCACTGTCATAATCGTCACCATCACTCTCGCCATCAGCATGATCATCACCATCAGCATCGTCAGCATCACCGTAATCGTCGGCCCCAACACCAACAAGCTGGTTCCCAAACGGGCCTGCATGGAAGCGAGTGAGCCTTCGGCTTCTCATCCTGCTCTCCGTCTCCCTCCACTCCTCCTTCTCCTTCCTTCTCTGAGCCCTCGTCCACTCAATGATCTCATTCCCATTGGCCCTCTCCACATCTTCCACCGCCATCTCCCCTCGCACCGGGTTCATCACATCGTAGTCACTCGCCACGACAATCCCAAGGCTCCGCAGCCGCGGCCAGGGGAACCTGCAAGCCTCCAGGTCCATGTCATGCCTCGCTATAAGCAGCTCCACCGTTGGCGCAAGTGCACGCAGCCAGTCCGCCCATGCAAAAGGTGGCGACGGTGGAAGATACACAAAGGAGTCACCACAGATCTCCATGGCTTTCCGAATGTCAGCAGGGATGCGGGTGGGCCGCGGCGGCAGCAGATTAATCGGACCATTGAGGTAGATTGCACGGACAGAGGCAACCTCAAAGGAGGCAATATGGATCCGCTCTTCTCCAAACAGCAACAGCTGGGTCAGCGCGAGAGGGCGGGCGGAGCGGCAGGCAAGAGTGAGGGACTGGGCACAGGCGGAGAAGTTTGTGAGGGAGTCGTGAGAGAGGGCGAGTTTCAGCTTGAGCTCGTGGGTGAGGAAGCGGAAGGAGAGGCGGCGAGCCCTGGGGAACTCGAGCGCCAGCAGCACCGGTCCTTTGCAGTCCTCCCCTCCCTCCTCCTCCAGCTTCCACGGCTCACTGAACGAGAATTCATGCAGCTGAGGGGAAATGGCAGCCAGGGCTTTAAGGGAAATCCCCCTGGGGTCCACATGCTTGAGGGTTAAGCTCCGGAGGGACTGCATCCAGGGGGCCGTGAGGCAGCTATTGCCCAAGCGCCAGGCGCCACGTGCGAGTGTGAGGGAGCGCAGGGAGGAGTATCGTTTGAGAAAGCCCAGATTCCAGTCGCTCTGGCGGTAATCCTCCTCTGTGAACTTCTCTCTGACACCCAAGCTTAGTTGCAGGGATGAGAGGGAGGAGGAGGCCGGAGAGGAGGAGAGGGCGAAGGAGCGCCGGATGAGGGGGATGAGGGAGGGGTGGGAGAAGGAAAGGCGGAGGGATGGGGGGGCAGGAGAGCGGGAGAGCAGCCAGCGCACGCTGGTGGTCCACTGGGGCTGGGCGGGACTGAGGTGCAGACTCATGGGCGTGCCGTGTGCCTGGTGGGTGACGGGAGGCGGAGTGGGAGGGAGGGAGGAAAATAAAAAGGACTATCATGCGGGTGGTGTGAGCAGTTGAAAATGAAGCCTATTAAGAGCAAATCCGACATTGCATTGAATGCAGTGGCGAGAAAAAGAGGGAGAGGGTGCGACGATACCACGCAAGGGAGTGACGGACAGAGATACACGCAACTATGTTACAGCGGAGATTGCTCCTGGAAAACAGTATCACGGGGAAGGAGAGTGTGTGGGTGGGCAGCAGTGGGTAGGAGAGGGCGTGGGGCAGAGAACGAGGGGAGAACTCACGGAGAAGGAGACGACATGGTTGAGCAGCCTCTTGCTGGCGAGCGCGCAGCACAGCAGTGGCCACGAGGAGCCGAACGTGCGAGCGTTGCGCGCATGCAGCCAGCACGGCGACACCCCGGGATTCACGAACACGGGCACAGCCGCACGATTCTCCGCGCCCCGTGGGGCGTTACTGCCAGCACCACCAGCAGCGCCGTCGGCGGTGCCTCTGAGATTGTCAGCACCATTGCCACCGTCTGCACCGCCGGGCACCACTCTAGCCGCGCCATTCTCAGCGCCCCGTGGGGCATTGCGGTCGGTCCCAGCAGTGGCGCCACCGGCGGTGCCTCTGCGATTGACCTCCGCTTGCTGCGCCGTGCTGCGCGCACGGCAGTAGTAGCGGCCGCCCGCGGAGTGCGGAGGGGTGGCGCTGCAGGGGCGCTCCAGCAGCAGGTGGAATATGAGGTGCCAGAGTCTCGCTGGGAGCGCGTCGATAATGTCGTTGCCATGGTCTGTAATTGCACGAAAGTTGGCGAAAGCGAGAGGGCGAGGGAAAAGGAGAGGGCGAGGGAGAAGAGAGGGAGATGGAGAGAGAGGAAGAGAGAGTGAGAGGAGAGGGAGAGAGGGAGAGGGAGGGGGAGCGAGAGAAAGAGAGTGTGAGAGAGAGGATGAGAGAGAGAGGGAGAGGGAAAATAGAGAGTATACAGGCGGAGTTAACGACGGAGTATAGGGACGGGGATGAGAAGAGTGTTATGCTGCGATGTTGAGAGAGCAGAATGGATGCCTTGTTTTATGAGCTGGCTCGAGAATGCACGGGAGGCAAGAAGGGACTGCGTCGCGTTTCGAAAGCTCCGCCTTGAAATGCAGGTCCTTGCCTTCGGGATCAGCGTCGTCCTGACGCCTATCGTTCGTGCGCCTCCTCTGAACGCGTCGCTCGCTCGTCCCTCTCAGCTCGCCAATGCGATCCCCAGCAGCTCCCAGCGACGATGCCATGGCGAACGCGTGACATCAGATGACTCGTTTCACCGGTTATTAAAAATGCTCTTGCCTCTCAACGACCTTTCGTTATGATCCTCACGGTGACATCTGCACATTAGTGCCAAGATATACGTAAAGTTGCTGAGCAATGTCCGCCAGGTTATGGATATGGGATGGGCGACAAGGAGGGAGAAAGGAAGTGCGTACGGTTCGAGCCTGACTTGGGGCTCAAATCTGTGACCTGCCTTTTGGGGCTTGCCCCAGGCGGGATTAGCATGTGTTATCCTTGTTTCGAAATTCCCCTTCCGCGACATGATGCGTAAGTGCCAGCTGCTCAAACGGCTATGCTTGGCGGGAGATGCTTCCTGTCAGGGTGAACGCGATGCGAAGATACTTCTTGTAGTAGAACTTGTTAGAGGTGGCTTGTCCAAATCAGAAATGGACAATGTTGTTGAAGAAATTCAAATGATCCTCCTACCTGGCAGAACTCTTTTAGATAGCATGATATAGCTTGGCAATTTGAAAAGGAGGCCAAAGTGGATATTTTGTAGATGTAGTCGGACCTACTCTGGTCTTCCGGATGCCTGGGCGAACGAGATGAGATACGGCAACTACATTCTATAACGACAAGCCTCTCCCACGCGGGCAAGGTGATGATGATCAACATGAGCAATAGAATGCAAGCTTACAGCACTAGCTATGCGTTTGCATCCTGGCAGCAAGGATAGGCGTTAGTCAGAATTGCAAGACAAAACTTACAGTACAGATTGTAGGGTGTGGCTCAAAATGACCACACCAGAACCATCACTACCTTACACTCTCTAAAGCTTCAATCATGATAACACTATTTCCGCGAATCACCTGCAGAATGTAGGCACACATACGGAATGTGAGTCCACAAATGCAGGCACACAGGGGGGTTAAGGCAGCCTGAGAAGTAGACACGAACCCAGTTCGTTTCGGTTCTAGGTGGGGCCTACAGAAGAACAAGACAGGAAGCACAGAGCGAGGCAAGCAGAGAGAGGCGAGAGAAACAGCGATACAAGCACATGCAAAAGAGCGCAGGGAAGGCACATCAGCAGTTGATGGGGGAGGGAGGGGAGAAGGGCGGTCATGGGGGAAAGAGAGGGGAAGCAAGGCGGGGCACCATAAGGGGGCGTCAGGCGAGAAAGGCGAGCACGGGATGAGGGAGGGGAGGAAGGAGGGGAGAAGGGGGGAGATGGAAGGGGAGGAGGTAGTGGGAGGCAGGGGTGAGTGGGAGGAAGGAGGAGGGAAGGAGGGGGGGAGGAGGGAGGGAGGGAGGGAGGGAGGGAGGGAGGGAGGGAGGGAGGGAGGGAGGGAGGGAGGGAGGGAGGGAGGGAGGGAGGGAGGGAGGGAGGGAGGGAGGGAGGGAGGGAGGGAGGGAGGGAGGGAGGGAGGGAGGGAGGGAGGGAGGGAGGGAGGGAGGGAGGGAGGGAGGGATGGAGGGAGAGAGAGAGGGAGGGAGACATGTTAAATTGGCAAAAGACAAGGCAAGACGAAGAAAAGATACACAGGGAGGCATTGCAGGGAGGCACTGCAGGCAGGCATTGCAGGGAGGCATGGGGGCCAAGCCAGGAGCACTGACCACCATGCCGATGTCGGTCCTGTCGTCGCCGCTCATCTCCACGGTGTTGTCGATCACGAGGTTCATGAACTGATCAAAGCCCCGCAGCACCCCCACCACCGTGCGATTCGCATTCAGCTTTACTGCAGGTGGGCGGAAAGGGGCACAGTGGGAGCGGGGGAGGGAAGCGGGAGGAGAGGAGGGCGGAAGTGGATAAAGGGAAGGGGATTGGATAAGACGAGGAGAAAGAATGGTGGTTTTACTAGAGTGTGTGCTACCTCTGAGAATCAATCATGGGATACTGCAATCATAGATGGAACGAAGGGAAGTGGGAGAAAACTACAGGAGAAGCATATGGACGGTGTTGGATGATGGTGATAGGAAAGCAAGGAGAGATGCAGCGGATGCAGCGGAGTGAGTGATATATGAAATGTGTTAACCAATGAGTGAGTTGCAAAAAAGAGTGACCGCACGAGAGTGAGTCAATGACTGGATAGACGAGTGCACGGGGGAGTGGGTGGAAAACCCAGTGCGTGAGTGAGAAAGCAGCTTCAAGAGTAAGCAAATGAGTTGGGAGTGTTAATGTGCAAGCACGCGGAGAGCCAATTGGCAGTGCGAATGAATAGCAGGAACAGAATGCTCCTGTGCTCTTGACAAAAGCATTGGGAAGCAGTGTGTGGGGAAGGAGTGCAGCGATGGTGGAGCGAGAGTAAAGCGAGAGTGGAGCGAGAGTGGAGGGAGAGTGGAGGGAGAGTGGAGGGAGAGTGGAGGGAGAGTGGAGGGAGAGTGGAGCGAGAGTGGAGCGAGAGTGGAGGGAGAGTGGAGGGAGAGTGGAGGGAGAGTGGAGGGAGAGTGGAGGGAGAGTGGAGGGAGAGTGGAGGGAGAGTGGAGGGAGAGTGGAGGGAGAGTGGAGGGAGAGTGGAGGGAGAGTGCAGCGAGAGTTGGAGTGAAACTCACTGCTCAGCTTCTTGTCCATGTACCTGCGTCGAGTCGGGGAGAGGGGAGAAAGGGGAGAGGAAGGTGGGTGGGAGGTGGGGAGACAGGGGATCCAGAAGGGAGGAAGGGGACGCGAACAGGGACAGGGGGGGTGGGGGCCCCGCGGGGGAGGGAAAGGTAGAGAATTGTTGAAAGAACGTAGAGAGGTATAGGAAGCGCGGATGCAAGCGTCCTCACCTCAATCCGCGATTGAGCTAGCTAAGACTACACGAGGATTCTGGGGAACGCGAGTTGCAAATGGATGAACATACCAAAATTTTATAGATAACGGGAAAATTAGGGTTGAAAGTATATTTTTTTTTTTCGTCATTCTGGCTCTCTCTCCCTTTCACTGCAACCGCGGGAAGTCGGTCAGGTGACCGAAATAAAGGAAATCGACGACAAGTTAGCGATACCAAAAAGAGGAATGTGATTAAGGAGACGCAAACTGCTTACTTCTTCAAATCGGGAGCTTGACCCGATCTACTCATGCTGATCTGTGGGGTGTGGAAATCAGGCTGTCGGATGGGAAACCCTAACAGCCGCTACCGACGTTGGCTGGAAGCACGGCTCAGGAACTCTCCTGTGGCGTTTTTTGAACGCTTAGATCCGCCCGTCCATGTGCAATCTGGCCCCTATATTATAAAGTGTGAACGCGAAAAGCGGGAGGTAGTGGCGGCGCGAGTCAGAGGAAATGGAGTGCAAGCAACGACAGAGGTTGCGAGAGAGAAACGCCCTGGTCCATCCATGGTTTTGTTTGTAACCTTCGAGTTTGCCAAAACATCCTCGAATGTCAAACATATGGTCCAGGACTATCGTTACAATCTATACAACATAAGAACAAGATTATGAGATTCCGATCAACGGGAAAGTACATGTTATATAACCAACATATGTACGGAAACAGAATCAAATTATGCACAAAACCTTGAAGCATCATTGACGTTATATGCACGAACGCTATTATTGCATTTTCTTTCCATTTTATCTTACCAATTGAGGCTTTTCTTGTGTACAGAGTTTGTTGAACCATGTATGCAAAACGAATTTGAAAAAATGCGAACCATCTCATAGGGAATTTCCGTTGCCTTCTCTGGCACGCTAAGAGAGCGAGTCGGCTCAGCCGCACCCACTTCTGCTGGATGGAAGTGACGGCGAGGCGAGGCGAGGTGGCGCTGGCGGCGAGCGAATTCTGTTTCCACTTTGACGAAACATTTCAGTGGACATCTGCTCTGACCATACGGAATTCGCAAGCACGTTCAAAGATCCCAGCAGGGATGATGGTCAACCTGCAGCTCAGCAGAAACAGCAAAGCAGCATCCCATGGACTGAACGTCCTCCGAGTCGCATGTGCAACCTCGGGTTTACCGTGAGCCCCCAGTCCGTCCCGGGCCCTGGACCAGTCACCAGGGAAAAGACCCCTGACCCTCGCCCCCTCAGCACGACGCGTGTTTCAACCAGAAACAGCCAATTGCAAGAGGTGATGCATTCAGTGACTTTCTCAAGCCGCGTTTTCAACATCGTCTATCACATTGAAGAAACATAGGTTTTGTGTGGTTTGGTATGCTTCAGTGTGGTGGTACACCTAACCACCGCTATTTTCTTTCGGTCTATCTTCAACCCCCACGTGTGCAAAGGGGTAGGCACCCTTCAAAACGTTTTTGACCGAGGGTTGTGTCGGACGTCATACGCTCTACGCAGAGTTAGTTCCTGACTCCTGAAAGCTACGCAATGGGATGCGCAACAACAAGCAGACTCCACACGAGCCGAAATTGTCTTACACTCGCCCGATTGAAATCTCCATTTGATGTCATTCATAGTCCCCTATAACGAGGTTTCTAACAGAAAACCCCAAAAGCTGGGCAGGGATTACATGAAAATCGGGAACAGTGCCAAGGTCAGAAGTTGAAAATAGCGGTGGCTAGGTGTAGTGGGCAGGCTCGGATCCGCCCAGTCCCTCTAGTCGGTGAAGGATGCTGACTGCACGCTCAGCACCAGCTCCTTCCCACTCTGATTCGCGGTTGGTCGGTTCGCATCTCGTCTGCAAACAGACATCCGCTCCGAGGTGGTGCGCCTCCCCTCTCCAGGTTAGGAATGGGCGCGCGCGTGGGAAGCTGCGCCACAGCCCACCGCCGGCCGCCCGCCATTATCCCCAAGTCACTCGGCGGAGTTTCATTTGCCCGAGACCAACAAGCGGAGCTTGCGCAAGATGCGATGGGGGTCAACTGGGGGTCAATAAGGCAATGACGCCAATACACACGATGCCCGTTTGACTAACCCAAGGTTGCCTTGTGAAGAGGGCTCTTAAGTGTTTCTTTTATTTCGCTAAGCTTTCGTCAATTCGCACTTAGCAAAAAGGGCTTTTAAAAGATTTTGTAACTCGCTGTTGACCGTTTGACATGGGTCTCTTCTGTCAAACTTCGGTTTTTGTGGTTCGTATTGCTCGAGGTGCTTGTAAATGGGGTGCAACTGGCTGGTACCCTAATACACGGGTGCAGAGTTTCCATGGCGGATGAGGCAAATTCGCGTGCAGGGGTTCGGCATCTTGTGTAGCTGGGAAGGGATAGGATGGCATGCATCTTGTGTAATGCAATGCATCGTCGCCACCGAAAGAGAGAACGCTCCGATTGGCTGAGATTACGCCTGCTCGTTCGCCGAAGCACCGAAGAAGTGCGTGCGACAGCGAACCAGAGTACACCGACAGATCGCTTGTTCGTCGCACATTTGTGTCGCCGACCCATAAAGCCACTCGATAGGCAGTTTCAACACTCGTTTCGTTCCGTTCAAATATTCCAAACCCAAACCGTCGCATCTTCGTCGCGCATTCATTCGTTCAACGCAGCCCCACATCCGCCCCACACCTACACCGCCGCAAGAGACGGTGCCCGCGCAGACCAACACAAGGCACATTTGCAGCGCGGACTCGACGTGACGCAGTCATTCAAGCACAGCACAGCCCAGCCCACACGCAAGCTTATTTTTCTTCCCTCCTCCCACGCAAACAGGCAAGCATTGCCAATCCAAGCCAAATACCAGCAGCCAGTCAACCCGTTTCGATTTCTTCCAGGCCAAAACAGCTGCAACGATCAGGTCGTGCAGCCCATAGTTTACTTCTCGTGCAAGGCAATCTGTCGCCGCCGCCGACTCTCTTATCTTTACGACCCACAGCACTGTTAGAGGTTTATTATTCTTCTAGCCTAAACGCGTTCGTTCTCGTTAGTTTCTCTAGCGCTAGAATCAGCGCCAGAAGCAGGTCAATACAGACACCCACAATCCCCTCTCAGCGAATTTGAATAATTTCGGGATTCGACACGTTTCTTTAAAATTAACTGGCACAGCCGGTTTCCCACAACTGGAGATATGACGGTGCCTCTTCCCTCCACTCCACCTCCCCCTCGGGATTTCCTCACTGAGTACTCCCTAGGCCGCCACTTAGGCAAGGGCGCGTTCGGCGAGGTCTTAGAATGCACGCACAAAGCGACGGGCCGCCAATTCGCCTGCAAGCGGATCGACAAGCGATTAATCACCTCCGAGTCGGACGCCGCGGAAGTGCGTAAGGAGGTAGCGATTCTGCAGCAGCTCACCGCCGCGGGCCCAAGCCGCCACGGCGGAATCGTGCAGCTCGTCGAGGCGTTAGAAGACGGCGCCGCGGTGTACCTCGTTATGGAGCTATGCGAGGGCGGGGATCTATTCGAGCTTATCAAATCCGATCACGCAGCGGGCATGCCGGAGGACATGGCGCGCGAGATCTTCCGCCAGGTGGCGCTGGCGGTGGCGTACTGCCACGCGCGCGGCGTTTTGCATCGCGATATTAAACCCGAAAACATCCTCTTTACTGGCCCCAACCAGTCTGCACCCGCCGCAGATTTCGGCGCGGAATTCGGCGCAGAATCCGTGGCCGCCGAATGCTCGCAGAAGGATTTCGGGGATTCTTCCGCCGCCGCGTGGCGCTGGCGGGTGCGCGTGGCGGACTTCGGGCTTGCGCTCTTCCTCCCGCACGGGCAGATGGGGCACGGCATGGCGGGGAGCCGCTTCTACACCGCGCCGGAGATGGTCCGCGGGCGGAAATACGGCAAGCGCGCGGACGTGTGGAGCATGGGGGTGGTGCTCTGCGCCATGCTGACGGGGCGCGTGCCCTTTGCGGGGAAGGACCGCGCGGACGCGGAGGGACTGCGGCGGTCGATTCTCCGCGGGGCGATCAACTTCTCCGCGCCCGCGTGGGCGCCCGTGAGCGCGGGCGCGCGCGACCTGGTGCGGCGCATGCTGGAGGTGGATCCGCGCAGGCGGCTCAAGGCGGCGGAAGTGCTGCAGCACCCGTGGGTGCTCGGGCTCGAGCTGCCGGAACTCACAGCGGCAGACGCGGCGGCGGATGTGGTTATGGTGGCGGATGCGGCGGGTTCGGCGGAAACGGTTGTTTCAGTGAAAGCGCAATCGGACTTGAAGCCGGCGCTAGCGGTATCGGCGCCAGGCTCCGCGGATCCAAGGGTAGCGGCGGAAGAGTCTCGAGAGAAGAAGCTAGGAGTTAAGAATCAGCAGAAAGCGGAGGTTAAGAATCAGGCGCTTCCTATCCGCGCTGTTTCTCCGCCCGTCGCTCCCCCAGCCACCTCTCCCCCCATTCCACCCACTGCCCCACGCGTCGCCTCCCCTCTCCGCTCCGCTGCTTTTCCCGTGCGCCCTGCCTCCCCTGCTCGCCCTGTTGGATCTCCTATCCCCATTCGCCCCATCGCCCAGCCACCTCTCGGTTCCGCTATAGAGCGATTCAATAAGGTCTGGCAGAAGCAGGACCTTCCGCAGCAGCTCCCACCGTGCCATCCATCCACCCCGCCCCCTCCAGCACCAGCCTGCACCGCTCTCAAAACCCCCTTTCCTCTTTGCGGAAACGCACCTCCCCTTCCCCGCAACAACCGCCTAACCTGCCCGCGCCAGCAGTTTCTTTCTCAGGCTGCCCGTCGTTCAACTCCCCTTGCCCATCACAGTCCTCCACATTCCAGTCCACCCCACCCTCCTCCGCCTCTCGCCCCTCCCCTTCCCGCTCCTCCCCGCCTCCTCTCTCCTCCTCTCTCTCCCCATCTCTCTCGAACTCCACTGCCACATCGGCGTCAACTTTTACTCACATGGAAGCAGCAGACATGGACGATTGCGGCATGGCAGATGGCGCTGGTGGCACTGATGGTATGGCTGCGGATGGCATGGCTGCTGACGCTTCACTTTCCATTCCACTGAGCCTCTGCCCACCGCCCATTGCTGTGTGCCGGAAGAAGAGCCGCAGGGAGGAGTACGAGGAATCTTTTGTTCCTGGCTCGCCCTGGTTCTCTCCGCGGCCTCTCCCTCCCACCGCCGCCCAGTTGACCCACAAGCAGCAGCAGCAGAGCGGGAGGAAGGAGTACGAGGAAGCTTCCTCAGCTTTTTCACCCTGGTTCTCCCCTCGGCCAATCCCGCTCGTCACAGCCCCGTTTTCGCACGAGAAGCAGCAGCAGAAGCACTGTTACCAGCAGGAGCAGCAGCATCAGGTGCATTGCCCAGTGGGGACATCCCTGTCAGGGGATGAGTTCAGCAACAGCAGCAGCATGTGCGGAGCCTCCTCGGCTCTCTCCTTCCAAGCAGCTTCCCGCTGCTTCATGGCCTTCAATCCCTGGGGATCTCCGCGCATCCACACCATGCCTGATACCACCACCACCACCACCACTACCAGTGGTGGTGCCAGTGGTGGCAATGGCGAGACTACCTGTGTTCCTGATTTAGGGGTTGAAGTTCCGGCAGAGGGTTTCAAGAAAAGTTCTCTGCAGTCCTTGTCGAATGAGAACCAGCTGCCTGTTTATGAGCCTAGGGAGAGTAGGCGCTCTTGTGGCCTGGCTAGGTTTTGCTCATAGATTACTGGCTTGGTCTGCACTCATTAATTTAAAACCGAAATGCAAAATAGTGAACCCGGGGCCAGCTTGAAAGAGGGCTTGCCGTGCGAAACAATTTTCGAACCAAACCGACAAGTTTCCAGTGTTTCATTGAGAGCGTTTTTAGCAGATCGAACACATCTGATTGGTTCCCGCCAAAACCAAAAGAAGGAACACAGCACGTCAGGCGTCGCATATCAGTTTGGGAAGCTCGAACTGCAATCGCTCATGCACGTCCTTGCGATTTTGGGCCCAGCTTGGGGTTCAAGTTGGGTCTGGGTGAACAACTACTAGTTCTTCCGATCACCACTCTTTGCTACCTAGTTATTTGTAGCATGTCTAGCCATCGAACCTTCAACTTAGGCCGTTGTTGTTTCAATTTAGACGCGTAGTGAAACTGCCACAGATGTGTAGTACTTTGTGCCGTTTCGGATGCCCTCTCGCTCGTCCTCCCGTTCCAATCGCCCACGCTCCGTCCGTCCTGGCGTCGTCCCGTCGACCGTCGTGTCGCGATCCTATCGCCCGTCCCGTCGCCGTCCCGTCGCCCTCCTGCCGTCATCTCCGTTACCCCTCTCCTCCAATCACCCTCGTGTTTTTCCCGGCGCTCTCTCTCTCTCGCCGCTCCCTTTCCTGAACCAATCGCCTTCTCCTCTCCCTTCTCGTTGCTCTCTCTCTCGCCGCTCCCATCCCGTTGCAATCGCCTTCTCCCATCCCTACCCATCGCTCTATCTCTCTCCCCATCCCTTCCCGTCTCTCTTGCTCTCTCCCCTCCCTTCCCGTCGCTCTCTCTCTCGCCGCTCCCTTTCCCGTCGTGCTCTCTCTCGCCTCTCCCTTCCAGTCGCTCTCGGTCTCTCCCATCCCTTCCCGTCGCTCTCGCTCTCTCCCCTCCCTTCCCGTCGCTCTTGCTCTCTCCCCTCCCTTCCCGTCGCTCTCTCTCTCGCCGCTCCCTTCCCGTCGCGCTCTCTCTCTCCCTGCTCCCTGCGCGTCGCTCTCTCTCACGCCGCTCCCTTCCCATCGCCCATCGCCCGCCATCGCTTCTTCTCCCATCCCCCATCACCCACCCCATCGCCTTCCCGCTCGCCACGAAACGCCTTCCCGTCCCGCACCCACTTTGTCCTCCCATCGCCTGCCTCGTCGCCTTCACGCTCGCACTCAAACGCGCTCCCCGCGCCCTTCCTCTCTCCCTTCCCATCACACACCTCGTCGCCCTCGTGCTCGCCCCGAAATGCCTTCCCGTCGCCTTTCGTCCCTTCTCCCCAAGCATTAATCTCTGAAACGCTCTCCAGTCGCCCATCGTATCCACCCGGTTCATCACCGACCTCGTCGCCCTCGCTCTTGCTCTGTAATGCCCTCTCCGCGCCCTTCCTCCCTCCCCTCACAATCTGTCTTCCCTCCCCGCATCCCGTCGTTCTTCCTCTCTCCCCTCCCATCCCGTCGTTCCACCTCTCTCCCCTCCCATCCCGTTGTTCCTCCTCTGTTCCCTCCCATCCCGTCGTTTTCCCTCTCTCCCCTCCTCTCCCGTCGCCCCCCTTGTCCCCAGTCCCTTTCTCTTCATCTTCGCTGTCGACCAATCAACCGTCCCGACGCCACGCCTTCTTTTCGTTCATCAGTCATTTCTTTATTTATATCTTCTTCGCCTGATTTCACGTGTGTGTGCCATTATTTTTTCTTGATCATGCATGTGTTCACGCAGGATTTTGCCTGTTTTTGCCTGTGTGCGCGCTGGATTTTGCCTGTGTGTGCGCTGGTTTTTTGCATATGGGGATTCTTGTGAAGTTACGACGGCTGCTCTGGTGAATGTGGGATTGCCGCCTTGCGCCAAATTCGCATACGAATGTGGGTGAAAGTCGCCACCAATCAGATTGGTAAACAAGTTCCACATGTTTCCCATTCACATCAATACTCGTCTGGCATGAAAAAAAATAAAAATGCACAGCACGTCAACTTTTCAAACGTTCGTAACAAACTTGTGTTTTCAAGTGGACCCAACTAGAAGGGGGGGGTCACTATTTTAGCTGCTGGCTTTAACATTATGCTTGCTAGTGTAAATCAATACCGTATTTGTCACCAGAGAAAACGTTCCACTACTATCGTTGTTGGCCCAACCATTTGATCGAAATTGGTCTGTTCCTGATCGCACTTGTCTCATCCCACAAAAGCGTTCAAGTACAGCTGATGCCTGTTTGAGCCCCTCCCGGTTGCCTTATGAAGGGGGCGTATAAGCTGTCACGAGCATTTCGCATAAGTTTCGTCAATTCGCAGCTAGCTAAAAAGGATTCGCATGTGCTTATAAACAAGATCTGTTACCTCGTTTGACTTCAGTCTCTTCTGCTTGACTTCGGTATGTTCGTTACTATTGGTTGATAACCACGCGACGCGCTTGTAATGTAGGTGCATGAAGCTGGGGAAACAACCTCGGGTGCAGCGTATCCATCCGGCGCAAGGCAAATTCGCGTGCATGGTGTGAGCATCAGCTGTATACCCATGACGGCTTCCCTGCCCAGGAACAGAGAACCAAGGGGGATCCACCGAAGTCCCTGCTCTTCGTAAACTAGCCGTTGCTCGTGGTGACATTGACGCGGCTCGATCTCCCCCTTCCGTTTTCCACACTCAGTTTTTCATGTCAGCCCTTGACTAGGAACTCTTCGTCGTTGGACATACTGGGGTCGTCGTAATAGATACTTGGTTACTAACGAGGATGCGCCACTGCCGTGCTCACTGTCGACCGTTCCAGCAGCTTCTGTACTCGTTACAAGCCAGTCGACGGCATGATTTCTGCCGCGAATTCGCGAGTGCTGCGGGGTTTACGAGATCAGCGCATTCCACGGCTGAAAGAGCGGCGGGAATCCCGCTGAGAGCTAATAGTCTATTAGCGGCCCCATCACCTCAGCACCGTCGAATCCAGCAGGGGGATACGAACACGTTCGTATCAAAGGATTTTAGTTCATCGCGCCGCGCGGGCGAGCATGTCGAACATGGGAATCCTAGAACTTTCAGTCTCGCGTCGCTCCTGCCGCAGCGAATGGCCGAATCGCCACGATCAGATCACTCGAGATCACCAGCCGCAGTACTACGCGGAAGCGTCGATCCGTCTAGTATTCGCGGCTTCGATACAAGCAGACTCGTTTGTAGCGCGCGTTTACACTCAACGAGTCCAGACGCTGCCGCTCCCCCGACCCCGCGGATCCGCTCCGCCTTCGTACATTCCGCCGATCCAACTGCGCCATACCCCCTCGCGCACGCTCACGCGCATGCACACCCGCACGCGCATTCAGATTCTCACTCCCACTCCTTCTCTCGTTTGCGGCGAAGAATCGACCCTGACTCCCCCTTTCCATTCCATCTGGGCTCGAGAGAGCCAATTTCAGAACAGTTCCCGATCAGATCCGACAGTTGCGAGCGCGAGCGTGCGGGGCTCTGCAGGTTATCTAGAACCCTTATCAATCCGGACTCTCCTCTCGCCACCGCCGCCGATCTGCCCCGCGCCGCCGCCTCTTCCGCTACTCTTGGTAGTGGGGAGTTAGGCTCTTGGTCTAGTAGCAGCAGCAGCGGCAGCAGCAGTAGCCGAAACCTGAGCGGCGGCGGCAGCGGCGGCGGAGGCGGAGGGTTTCTGGGTTTTTCGTCGCCTTCGAAGAAGTTCCAAGAGAAGCGCTTGATTGGGTGGGTGCGCTGCTTCTCGTCGCGTGTGCATGGCTCCTCGCCTGCTCTGACCATGACCCATAACCCATGATCCATAACCCATGACCCATGATCCATGACCCATGACCCATGCACCATATCCCATACACCATGCCCCATGCATCATGCCCCATGCCCCATGCCCCATGCCCCATGCCCCATGCCCCATGCACCATGCCCTGCATGACCCATGACCCATCCGTCACCCCTCCTCCCCCAGCTACTCACCAGAGCAGGTGTTCGACGTAGTGGCAGGGGTGGAACACTACGCTGACTTCCTGCCATGGTGTGTGGGCTCTCATGTGCTGTTACGCGCACTCAACTGCATGACCTGTGACCCACCTCCCCTCCCCCCACCCCCCTCCCCACAGGTACACGCCAGAGCAGGTGTTTGACGTGGTGGCCGGGGTGGAACACTACGCTGACTTCCTGCCCTGGTGTGTGGGCTCGCACGTGCTGTGGCGAGCACCTGAAGGCATGGAGGCGGAGCTGGAGATCGGCTTTCACATGCTGCGGGAGAAGTACCTCTCACGAGTCACCTACAAGCGGCCACTCTTTGTAACTGTGAGTGCTTTAGAGGACTCAGGAAAGTTGGTAGGGTGCACCCCAAGGCATGGAGGCGGAGCTGGAGATGGGGTTTCAGATGCTGAGGGAGAAGTGCCTCTCCCGGGTGACTTACGAGCGGCCAGTATTTGTGACGGTGAGTGCTTTGTGTTGGTAGATGGTAGCGCCTTGTAAGTTGGTGGCGTGCACGGACCACATGGCTTGCACGTGCTGTGGTGGGCACCGGACGGCATGCAGTCGGAATTGGAGATCGGCACCCCCCTGCCCTTCTCACATGTCTCTCCATATCCACTCTTCTCGTCTTGCCCCTTCCCCCCCTCCAATCCCCCTCGGGCTCGTTCCGCGGACGAGTTCGCGGGTCTATTCAACCATCTCGACAATCACTGGGAGTTCGCCCCTGGCCACTCCTCTGTGCCCTATGTTCCCCCGTGGCCCCCGTGGCCCCTGTGCTCCTCCCCTCCCCTCAGGCTCGCTCCACTGACACGGGGCTATTCCACCATCTCGACAACCACTGGGAGTTCGCCCCTGGCCGCCTCCCGGGCTCCTGCCTGCTCTCCTTCTCCGTTGACTTTCAGTTCTGCTCCCTGCTCTACACCCAGGTGGGCTCATGTGTCATATGGGGGGCTCTGCACACAGGTGGGCTCTAGCTCTACGCTCAGGTCTGGTTGCTGAATGCGGTTACTAGTGTACAGGTCACAGAGGACGCTGTTGTTCCTGCCTGCTCTCCTTCTCCGTTGACTTTCAGTTCCGCTCCCTGCTCTACACCCAGGTGAGCTCATGTGTCATATGGTGGGCTCTACACCCAGGTGGGCTCTACACCCAGGTGAGCTCTCACCCAGGTGGGCTGGGCTGTACACCCAGGTTATCTAAGGTGGGTTTAGATGCACCTAAGCTCCACAACACACAAGTCCATGCATTTCTCGTCACTGCAATCAGCTACCGTGGCACGGTTACAGCAAGCATTGTCACAATTCTTATGAAATAAGTACTTCACCTCACTGTATGAAGCTTCCTCCTTCGCGGTGGATTCTCTAGCGGAATGCTGTGTTTTAATGTGTTTCGTTCTATTCTGGTTTCTTCTGCATCGTCCATGCAGTTTCTGGACCTCTTTTTTGACGAGGTGGTGAGCAGTCTTGTCAACTCATTTGAGCGACGGTGCGAGGAAATTTATGGTCCGAGCAAGGTAGTTATGACGATATAGTGTGTATATTTTTCGGGTTACGCGTTTCCCAACAATTTAAAAGTTGGAGTGGTGGTAGCATGGAAATTATATATTTTATTTGATAAACCCATCTGGATTAGGTGTATACACCCATCTGGATGAGGTGTACTGGAGTGTGGTGTGATGAATGATGTGGTCGATGGCTTTTGCTGATGCTGACCTCTGGCATCAAGCCATGTGGTTGAGCTTGACTGTCTCCGCTTTACAGCTTGGTGAAGAAGCTAGCATCTCGGGTCGGGTATGGAGAGATTTGTGTCAAAATACGGAACGAGAATGAATGCTTTGAGGACAATCTGCGTACAAGTACTAACCCTAATTGGGTTGTACCCCTTATGGGCTACCCCACTACAGCCTACACAACATAAACATCATATTGTTTTGACACACTCCCATAGGCAAAGTGGGGGAGAACAAGTGGTCACAAGACCAGTCAAGAAAAGCAAAGAAAGCTCAGGGTGGATCACAAAGACACCACACAGTCCGAGCACACGCAAATGGCCACAAGACCAGTTCACATCAGAGTTATAAAAGAGAACAATTAGTACAATGATCACAACCTAGTGTCAGAATGTCATATTTCTCTAGTATGCAGTGGGGTACTCTATAGTGAGTACAACCCTGTTAGGGTTTGCTATATGTATCCCATTGTTTGCTAGTGAAACCCCTCTTTTGCCTATTCTCTCTTGCCTAGCTAGCTAAACCCTAGCTATGGCTCCTGCGTTCTAGCTACTGTTTCAACATGCTATCAGAGCAGGTCGACCCTCCCTGGTCGATCCTGTGGGTGGGCCCACCCTATGCTTCCGCTGCTGTCCTGTCTGTCACGTTTTTTCTTCCTGCCACGTGCTCAGGGCGCATGGCGGCTTTTTCTGCCCGCCGCGCGCTCGGGGCGCGCGGTGGGCTGCCCCGCGCGTCCCCCCGGTCGACCGCCGCGTCGCCCCTGGGGACACGCGCGCGCCCACTGTCCACCGTCGCGTCGCACTAGGGACCCGCGCGCGGCCCCCGCCATCCCGTCGCGCCGCCCTGGGGACCCGCGCGAGCCCCCTGTGCTCCAGTCGCGCCGCCTTGGGGACCTGCGCGCGCCCCCCGTGCTCCCCGTGCGCCGCCCCGTGCCCTTTTGCGCCGCGAGACTTCTTCCTCCCCGCGGGGGTGGCGAGTATGGGGGTGGCGAGTATCGGGGTGACGGGTGTGTGAGGCCTCCCCTGCTCCTCCTCTCTCTCCCACTGCTGCAGCTGCCGCTGAGGGGGGTGGGTTTGTGGGAGCCGTGGGAGTCGCGCTACGGGGTGCAGTGGTATTGGCGCCAGGAGTGCAGCAGGGGGTGTGTGAAAAGGGGATTGAGACAGTGGGGGGAGGTTGAGCGGAGGTAGCCGTCGTGACGCCAGCAGCAGGCAGGCGCGGCTGCAGGGCGGGCGGCGCACGGGGCTGCGGGGCGACGCGCGGGCGCAGCAGGCAGCCGCGGCAGCGGGGCGGGCGGCGCACGGGGCTGCGGGGCGACGGGACAGGCGACGCGCGCGCGCAGCAGGCAGCCGCGACAGCGGGGCGGGCGGCGCACGGGGCTGCGGAGCGACGCGACGGGCGGTGCGCGAGCGCAGCAGGCCGCCGCGACAGCAGGGCGGGCAGCGCGCGAGGTCAGCAGCGGGGCGACGCGACCAGCAGCGGGGCGACGCGACTAGCAGCGCGCGCGGGGCGTGGCAGGCAGGGCAGAGCGCTAAAAAAGAAATGCGCGTTGCAGCAGTGGCGCGCGGCCAGCAGGGGCACCGCGACTCGAGGTAGGGCAGTGGGGTAATGCGGTAACCGTAGTCGGAATGGTGGGCCCTAAAGACATGGTCCTTAGGAAGGACCTGCTCTATACCATGTTAGAATAGCTAGGGTAGAATGAATGAACTAAGGGAAGAAATGAGATACAAATATGAAACCCTAGAGGGGTTGTACCCCTTAGTGATTACCCCACTGTAGCCTACAAAGCCTAAACATCAAATATAGTTCAACACACCCCCATAGGCAAAGTGGGGGAGAAAAATTGGTCTCAAGACCAGTCAAGAAAAGCAAAGCAAGTTCAGGGTGGATCACAACGTCACCAGACACTCTGAGCACAAGCAAAGAAGGCCACATGGCCAGTTCACATGCATAGTTATATAAGAGAGAGCAAACAGTACAGTGATCACTACCTAGCAAGTGTAGGCATGCAGGTATATATAATGAATCACAGTACAAGCAAGGTCAAGCAGTAAGCAAGTGTGAGAACGTAGGCACGAGACCTAGAGCAGTGCAGTGACGCTGATGATCACTAGGCGGAAGTGCCTTGGTGAATATATCAGCTGTGTTGGCCCGCGTGTCCACGTAAGCAAGACGAAGCTGGCCACGCTGCTGTAGCTCTCGAGCAAGAAAGTAACGCAGAGCGATGTGCTTCGTCCTGTGCTCCAGTCTGTGCTCCTGACACAAGGCAAGGGCTGCCTTGTTGTCGCCGTACAGAACTGGAGGAGAACGAGGCCGCTCTCCCAAGTCAGTCAGCAGGTAAGTGAGCCAGCGTAACTCCTGTGCAGCCATGGCCGTGGCGTAGATCTCAGCCTCACAACTGGAGCCGAGAACAGAAGAAGAGCGGGTAGACCGCCAAGAGACAGAACCAGAACCAAGGCTGAAGGTGTAACCCTGTGACGACCGCTGCGTAGCCAGGTCGTCAACCCAAGAGGCGTCTGAGTGTCCAGTGAGGACAACGTCACCCCGTCCTCCAAGCACCAGCCCCATGCCTGATGTACTGCACAAGTAGCGCAGCACCCTCTTAGCAGCCTCCCAGTGCTCTCGCCTGTGTCTCCCAGGCGCAACGTAGCGAGCCAGGATGCTAAGAGGGTACGCAAGGTCAGGTCGTGTGCAAGTCATCAGGTACATGAGGCAGCCCACAAGCTCTGGGTACGGGCCACTCGGCACTGCTGCAGCTGCCGCTGAGGGGGGTGGATGTGTGGGATCCGTGGGAATCGCGCTAGGGGGTGCAGTGGTATTGGCGCTAGGAGTGCAGCAGGGGGTGTGTGAAAAAGGGATTGAGACAGTGGGGGGAGGTTGAGCTGAGGTAGCCGTCGTGACGCCTGCAGTGCCAGTAGTCCGGAGGCGGCGTGCTCCGGTAGCCAGCGAGCCCGTTGCACCAGTTGCCCGTGGGTCAGTTGCTCTAGCCGCTCGGCGTAGCCGCGGAGCCAGTTACTCCCGTAGTCCGGTGCCGTCGTGCTCCGGTAGCCTGTGTGCCAGTTGCTCCAGTCGCCCGTGTGCCAGCAGCTTCAGCCGCCGCCTCCTATCTCCTCTCCTCCCTTAGTTCTTCTTCCTCCGCCTCACTTGCCCTCTGTTTCCACTACTAGCTTGTGCTTGTGAACTTCTTATGCGACTGTTTGCTGTACTGATTATACCCCACTTTGACTATGGGGGTGTGTCAGAATGTTATATTTCTCTAGTCTGCAGTGGGGTACTCTGTAGTGAGTACAACCCTGTTAGGGTTTGCTATATGTATCCCATTGTTTGCTAGTGAAACCCCTCTTTTGCCTATTCTCTCTTGCCTAGCTAGCTAAACCCTAGCTATGGCTCCTGTGTTCTAGCTACTGTTTCAACACCTAGCAAGTGTAAGCATGCAGGTATATATATATATACATATATATATCACAGTACAACTAAAGTCACGCAGTGAGCAAGTGAGACAAAGCAGGCACAAGGCCTAAAGCAGTACATAAACGTTGATGATCACCAGACTGAAGTGCCTTGGTGAATATATCAGCAGTGTTGGCCCGGGTGGCCACGTAAGCAAGACGAAGCTGACCACGCTACTGCAACTCTCGAGCAAGGAATTTACGGAGAGCGATGTGCTTCGTTCTGTGCTTCAGTCTGTGCTCCTGACACAAGGCAATCATGGCCTTGTTGTCTACGTACAGAATCAGAGGATAACGAGGCCACTCTCCCAAGTCGGTCAGCAGGTAGGTGAGCCAGCGTAACTCCTGTGCAGCTATGGCTCCTGCGCAGATCTCAGCCTCACAACTGGAGCTTAGAACAGAAGACGATGTTAAGCTATAATGATGATTGTAGGTTGTAGTGGGGTAGCTTATTTGGGGTACAACACATTCTAGGGTTTCTATTTGTATCCAAACAGTTTCTAGTCATCTCATTCCTGCTAGTTTTTGACATGGTTTCAGAGCAGGTCCTGCTCCAGGACCGTTCTCGCTAGGGCCCACCGATCGTTCCCTACCCATAGCGCTGCCCCACTCGTCGCACTGCCTTGCCCTGCCCTGCGTCGCGCTGCCCGCGCACGCCCTGCCTACGTCACGCCCCACCCGAGCACGCCTCTGCCCCGCGTCGCGCTGCCCGCACGCGCGCCCTGCCCTGCGTCGCGCCGCCCCGCACACGCATTGCGCTGCTCGTCGTGCGGCCTGCGTACGCCCAGCCTGCGTCGTGCCCCGCACTGCGGGTCGCGCCGCCCGCGCAAGCCCCGCCTGCGTCGCGCGGCCCGCTTTCCCCCTGCCCGGCCCGTCGCACAGCCCGCGCACGCCCCGCCCGCCGTCGCGCTGCCCGCGCATGCCGTCTCCTACGTCGCGCCGCCCCGCGCACGCCCTGCTTTGCCCGCGCGCCGCCCTGCTGCCCGCGCACGACCTTCTTTTATGCCCGCGCGCTGCCTTGACAGCCGCGCGCCGCCCCTGCCTGCCCGCGCGCTGCCTTGTGCAGACCTGCGCGCCGCCCCTACCTGCCGTGCGTGGCCCCTACCTGCCGGCGCCGCTCCTGCTTACCTGTGCGCCGCTCTGCTGCAGCCCGCGCGCTGCCTTTGCCTGCCAACGCGCCGCCCTCTGCAACCCGCGCGCTGCTATTTCTACCCGTGCGCCGCTCTACCCTGCCTGCGCACTGCCCTACCCTGCCCTACGCGCCACACTACTCTGCTAAGCTATGGCCTCTCTTAGTGTCCTCGAGTACGATACTGAGGGCCGCCCTATCCAGTTCGACACCTGGCTTGTTGACCGACAGCTGTACCTGCTGAGCGATTCTAGAGAGAATGTCTCGCTATTCGACTACGTGTCTGGAGCCTGTTCTGCCCCTCCCGACACAGCTGACAGTGCGACTCGCTCACAGTGGCTTACCCGTGACGCTGCTGCTCGCCTAGCCATTCGCAACCACCTGCCGTTAGCTGAACGCGCTCACTTTGGCCAGCATAAGACTGCAAAAGCCCTGTACGACGCTACAGTCGCTCGCTACTCTTCCCCTGCCACTGCAGCTCTCGGCCGCCTTATACTGGCCTACCTGTTTCCCGAGCTGTTCTCCTTTGCCACAGTCGAGGAACTCATTACCCACCTTCGCACTAGCGACGCTCTCTACCATGCTGCCCTGCCAGCCGAGTTAGTCACCAAGAACGAACCCTCGATCTACATCACTCTCTACTTTATAGTCACTCGCCTCCCTGACTCTCTTCGCGCAGTCAGGGACCACTTTCTCGCACTTGATCACACCGACCTCACTATCGACCTGCTCGAGAAGCACCTCCTTGCAGCTGAGACCAGCATAGTCGCTGTAGGTGCTACTCGTGGCACTCCTCGCACGCCCTTCTTTGAGGGGTGCTCCCCCTCCCCCTTGCCCCCCTCTGTTGCTTCTGCTACTGCAGTCGACTTCCTTGGTGCTGAGGAGGTCGGTGCTGCTTCTGCTCCTAGTGGGAAGCGCCGCAGCGGCAAGGGCAAGGGAGGCAAGAGTGGTGGGGGCGGCGGCGGCGGGGGGGGTGGTGGTGGAGGCGGTGGGGGCGGTGGAGGTGACGGAGGTGGCGGTGGGAGTGGTGGCGGGAGCGGGGGCGTCGGTGGCGGCGACGGTAGCGGCGACGGCGGTGGTGGTGGTATTGGGGGTAGTGGTGGTGGTAGTGGCAGCAGTGGGAGTGGTGGCGGAGGCAGTGGCGGCGGAGGGAGTGGTGGCGGCCGCAATGGTGGTGGTCGAGTTGGAGTCGGTGCAGCAGCAGCAGCAGCAGCAGCGTCAGCGTGGGACCCTCACGCCCCAGCAGCTCCGTGAGTGGTACGCTCAGCGTGGGGCGTCTGGGGGTAGTGCTCGCTGCCCGTACGTCATTCGCACAGGTGACCGCGCTGGTCAGACGTGTGGGAAGTTTCACACCCAGTATCGCTGTTTCTCCCGCCTAGACGATGCTTGGCGCACTGAGTATGGCGAAAAGGCTGAGATGCCCCGCTGGGCAGAGCTGCTTAGGGCTGGTGTTGATATCTTTGCTCTTGACTATGATGCTATACTTGCTGGCATGTATGCTATGATTACTAGTGCTGAGGGTGACTGCTACTTGTGTATGCCGCCTGACCCAGGTATAGAGGCTGCTGCTCTAGGTGCTAGTGAGTCTGCTCTCTCTGGTACTGCGCCTGCTGAGGCCTTGCACACCTTCACGCTTGACTCAGGTGCTTCTCGCTGCTTCTTTCGCGACAGTACCACAGTCACACCACTCACTAGACCCGTTGCAGTTTCCCTGGCTGACCCCTCTGGGGGCCCGGTTCTTGCACGTTCCTCCACTGTTCTCCCGTGTCCGGCGGTTCCGTCCGGCTCACTGTCAGGTCTCCACCTCCCCTCGTTCTCGACGAACTTGATGAGCAACGAAGTCCTTCAGGATGCATGGGTATATACCTTTACCCCTGGAGGCCAGCGTGTGGCGATCTGTACGTGCTCCCGGACTGGCCGTCACCTGGCCACGTTCACCCGTCGGCCTGGGTCGAGTCTGTACACACTGACTACAGCGCCTCCTCAGGTTGTTGCGTCTAGTCAGCTGTTCGCGTCAGGTCAGGTAGCCGCCCCCTGCTCGTGTCGCCTCTTGTCGCACCAGACCCTCCTTTTGGCACCACCGCCTTGGTCACCCCTCCCTGCCATGCCTTCGTGGCATGCACTTGCGCCTTTTTGTCTCTGGTCTTCCCAGGTCTCTGCCTTCCCTCCCACCCTCGCCTGCCCCGCCCTGCGTTCCTTGCGTCGAGGGACGGCAGCGCGCCGCTCCTCACTCCTCCTCGTTTCCCCCGACGACTGCTCCTCTGCAGACCCTCCAGACGGACGTGTGGGGCCCAGCCCGCGTCAGTGGACAGGGCCGCGAGCGATACTTTCTGCTGGTTGTTGATGACTACTCGCGTTACACCACGGTCTTCCCCTTGCACAGCAAGGGGGAGGTCCCTGATGTCTTGATCCCTTGGATCCGCGCTGTTCGTCTCCAACTCCGCGAGCGGTTCCGCACAAACCTTCGTGTCCTGCGTCTGCACTCTGACAGAGGCGGTGAGTTCTCCTCCGACCTCTTGCGGGACTTTTGTCGTGGGGAGGGCATCGCCCAGTCGTTCACGCTTCCGGCCTCCCCGCAGCAGAATGGGGTTGCCGAGCGCCGCATTGGCTTAGTCATGGATGTCGCTCGTACCTCTATGATCCATGCGGCTGCCCCCCATTTTTTGTGGCCGTTTGCGGTCCGGTACGCTGCGCATCAGCTCAACCTCTAGCCCCGTGTCTCCTTGCCGGAGACCTCGCCCACACTGCATTGGACGGGGGAGGTTGGCGATGCGTCGGTGTTCCGGGTCTGGGGCTCTCGTGCCTTTGTCCGCGATACCTCCGCGGACAAGCTCTCCTCTTGCGCCATTCCCTGCGTCTTCCTTGGCTTTCCCACTGACGCGCCTGGCTGGCAGTTTTACCATCCCACCTCGCGCCGTGTTTTGTCCTCTCAGGACGTCACGTTTGACGAGTCGGTTCCCATTTACCGTCTCTTCCCCCACCTCGCTGCCCCTCTCCCCCCCCCGCCGCTCTTCCTCGCTCCAGGTCCCCCTCCGGTAGACCCCCTCCCCCCTCAGGGTCCTGCTCCTTCAGGTGTGTCTCAGGTAGACCCACTTCCCTTGGCTGAGCCTGTCGAGGTCACTGGTGACTCAGGTGCTGCTGCGGGTGGTGCTGCTCAGGGTGCTGCGTCTGGGGGTGCTGAGCCTGAGCGTGCGGAGCCTGGGGGTGCTGAGCCTGCGGGTGCGGAGCCTGGGGGTGCTGAGCCTGCGGGTGCGGAGCCTGGGGGTGCTGAGCCTAGGGGTGCTGCGTCTGGGGGTGCTGAGCTTGCCGGTGCTGAGTCTAGGGGTTCTGAGCCTGAGCGTACGGAGCCTGGGGGTGCTGAGCCTGTATGTGCGGAGCCTGGGGTGCTGAGTCTGAGGGTCCTGTGCCTGGTGGTGCTGCGTCTGCTGGAGGTCCTCCGAGTGCCTCGCCGCAGCGGTCTAGCCAGCAAGAGCCTCTCTCACCTCAGCAGCTGCGCGAGTGTTTTGCTCGGCGCACACGTCTTCGGAGTCGCGCCGCTGGAGCTGGAGGCACTAGAGCTGGAGCTGCTGGCACTCGAGGAGCTGGAGCTGGTGACGCTGGAGCTGGAGGTGCTGACGCTCGAGGTGCTGGAGCTGGAGCCGCTGGAGCTGGAGGCGCTGGTGTTGCTGGCGCTGGTAACACTAGAGCTGGAGGTGCTGGCGCTGGAGGCGCTGGAGCTGGAGGCACTGAAGCTGGAGCCGCTGGCACTGGAGGAGCTGGAGATGGTGACGCTGGAGCTGGAGGTGCTGGCGCTGGAGGCGCTGGAGTTGGAGCCGCTGGAGTTGGAGGCGCTGGTGCCGAGGGCACTGTGCAGCAGCGACCGTTTTTCTTGCCCCCGCCGCAGCTGGACGAGCTACCGCCTGAGTCAGTTCTCCGTCAGGTTCTTAGTCTTCCTTCGTCCACTGCCCTTCCTCCGGACTCACCGCTGCCTGCCCCCGTTCCTTACACTGAGCAGCCAGCCTCCCTTGCAGAGCGTCGTGAGCCTGCGTCTCGTCCTGCCTCCCCTGTTCGCCGTGCTCGTCGTGTCCCGCGTCCGCGTCCTCCTCCTGTGCCAGGTACTCACACTATGGCACTTCGTCCTTCCTCTGCTCCGCAGCGTGTCCCTCTGCCGTCTCCTCCTACGTCCTCTCTTCCTAACATTCCGGACCCTGAGTCTGACCGTGTTCGTGCTGCTAGTCCCACTGTTACGCGTCTCTTGGCCACTGTCGTCACTGACCCGTCGTTTGAGTCTACTGCTGCGTCTGCCTTAGTTGCTGAGCTTGTGGACTTTGCTGCTGCGTGTCGTCTAGACTACGCCGCCAGTTTTGTTGCTGAGTCTGAGTCTGTCTGTCCTCCGTCCGTTGGGGGTGAGTGTGCTCTTGGCACGGACGTCCTTGAGGACAGGCAGGAGGACTTTGACTGTCTTGCGGCTGCTGTACCTCATCTCGTGGCCTGGCTGCTTGCACTTGAGGGAGACCCGGATGCACTTGACATCCCGACCCCGCGCTCTTACGCAGAGGCGATTTCGGATCCCTACTCCTCTCAGTGGCAGACAGCCATGGACGCAAAGATGGCATCCTGGAAGTCCACAGGCACCTACGTCGATGAGGTTCCCCCTCCTGGGGCGAACATAGTCGATGGCATGTGGATTTTCAGGGTGAAGCGACCGCCGGGTTCTTCGCCTGTCTTCAAGGCTCGTTACGTTGCACGAGGCTTCAGTCAGCGACAAAGATTTGACTTCTTTCAGACCTTCTCCCCCACCCTGAAGATGACCACTCTTCGGGTGCTGCTGCACGTTGCCGCTCAGCGTGACTACGAGCTTCACTCTCTTGACTTCAGCACAGCGTTCTTGCAGGGCAGCCTGCACGAGGAGATCTGGCTACGTCGCCCACCTGGCTTCACTGGGTCGTTCCCTCCTGGTACCCAGTGGAGCCTCCGGCGGCCAGTCTACGGTCTCCGTCAGGCACCTCGTGAGTGGCACGACACACTGAGGGCGACACTTGCGGCTCTTGGGTTTGCTCCGTCCACTGCTGACCCGTCGCTGTTCCTGCGCACCGACACTTCCCTGCCGCCGTTCTACATTCTCGTGTACATCGACGACTTGGTCTTTGCTACTGCTGACACTGAGGGACTCGCCCTTGTGAAGTCGGAGCTGCAGAAGAGACACACGTGCACAGACCTGGGTGAGTTGCGCAGCTATCTTGGCTTGCAGATCACCCGGGACAGAGCACGCCGCACCATTACCCTGACTCAGTCACACATGGTGCAGCAGGTCCTTCAGCGCTTCGGCTTCCAGTTCTCCTCACCACAATCCACTCCTCTGCCTACCGGTCACTCGCTCTCAGATCCACCTTCGGACGAGTCCGTAGAGCCGAGTGGCCCATATCCAGAGCTTGTGGGCTGCCTCATGTACCCGATGACCTGCACGCGACCTGACCTTGCGTACCCTCTTAGCATCCTGGCTCGCTACGTTGCACCTGGGAGACACAGGCGAGAGCACTGGGAGGCTGCTAAGAGGGTGCTACGCTACTTGTGCAGTACATCGGGCATGGGGCTGGTGCTTGGAGGACGGGGTCGAGTTGTCCTCACTGGACACTCAGACGCCTCTTGGGTTGACGACCTGGCTACGCAGCGGTCATCACAGGGTTACAACTTTTAGCCTTGGTTCCGGCTCTGTTTCTTGGCGGTCTACCCGCTCGTCTTCTGTTCTCAGCTCCAGTTGTGAGGCTGAGATCCATGTAGGAGCCATGGCTACGCAAGAGTTACGCTGGCTCACTTACCTGCTGACTGACTTGGGAGAGCGGCCTAGTTCTCCTCCAGTTCTGTACGTAGACAACAAGGCCGCTATTGCCTTGTGTCAGGAGCACAGACTGGAGCACAGAACGAAACACATCGCTCTGCGCTACTTCCTGGCTCGAGAGTTGCAGCAGCATGGCCAGCTTCGTCTTGCTTACGTGGCCACTCGGGCCAACACAGCTGATATCTTCACCAAGGCACTTCCGCCTGGTGATCATCAGCGTCTGTGTACTGCTTTAGGCCTTGTGCCTACGTTTGCTCACTTGCTCACTATGTGACCTTGCTTGTACTGTGGTCTATATATATTTATACATATATATATATATATGCCTGCATGTTTACACTTGCTAGGTTGTGATTACTGTAGTGTTTTCTTTGCTTTATATAACTCTGCATGTGAACTGGCCTTGTGGCCATTTGTTTGTGCTTGGAGTGTGTGGTGACTTCATGATCCACCCTGAGCTTGCTTTGCTTTTCTTGACTGGTCTTGTGACCACTGGTTCTCCCCCACTTTGCCTAAGGGGGTGTGTTAAGCGATAATGATGATTGTAGGCTGTAGTGGGGTAGCTTACATGGGGTACAACACATTCTAGGGTTTCTATTTGTATCCAAACTGTTTCTAGTCATTCTCATTCCTGATAGTTTTTTATAGACGAGCGGGTGGACCTCCAGGAGACAGAACCAGTGCCGAGACTGAAAGTGTAACAGCACCTCCAGCTCCAGCGCCTCCAGCTCCAGTGCCTCTAGCTCCAGCACCTCCATCTCCAATACCTCTAGCTTCAGCACCTCCAGCTCGAGCACCTCGAGCTCCAGCGCCTCTAGCGCCAGTGCCGCCAGCGTCAGTGCCTCCAGCGCCAGCGCCTCCAGCGGTAGGTCCTCCAGCTCCAGCAGCGCCACTCCGAAGGCGGGTGCGCCGAGCAAACCACTCGCGCAGCTGCTGTGGTGAGAGAGGCTCCCGCCGGCTAGACCGCTGCGGCGAGGCACCCGTAGGGTCTCTAGTAGACGCAGCACCCCTAGGCTCAGCACCCCCAGGCTCCGCACCCCCAGACGCAGTACCTTTAGACTCGGCACCCCTAGTCTCAGCACCTCCAGGCTCCCCACCCTCAAGCTCAGCACCCCCAGGCTCAGCACCCCCAGACTCAGCACCCCCAGGCTCAGCACCCCCAGGCTCAGCACCCCCAGGCTCAGCACCCCTAGCAGCACCACCCCCAGCAGCACCAGAGTCGACAGCAACCGGCTGCAGAGGCGGCGAAGACGGTCGAGGTGGAAAACCTGTAGTGGTCTCCAAGCGTGGTGAGCGGCTGGGGGCCGCCGCGTCGTCAGCAGCAACGTCACCCCCCTCAGCTGGGCCAGAGGTGTCGCTAGTGACCTCGAAAGGCTCAGCCAAGGGGAGTGGGTCTACCTGAGACACACCTGAAGGAGCAGGACCCTGAGGGGGGAGGGGGTCTACCGGAGGGGGACCTGGAGCGAGGAAGAGCGGCGGGGGGGGGGGAGAGGGGCAGTGCGGTAGGGGAAGAGACGGTAAAAGGGAACCAACTCATCAAACGTGACGTCTTGAGAGGACAGAACACGGCGCGTGGTGGGGTGGTAAAACTGCCAGCCAGGCGCGTCAGTGGGAAAGCCAAGGAAGACGCAATGAATGGCGCGAGAGGAGAGCTTGTCCGCGGTGGTATCGCGGACAAAGGCACGAGAGCCCCAGACCCGGAACACCGACGCATCGCCAACCTCCCCTGTCCAACGCAGTGTGGGCGAGGTCTCCGACAAGGAGACACGGGGCCAGAGGTTGAGCTGATGCGCAGCGTACCGGACCGCAAACGACCACAGAAAATGGGGAGCAGCCGCATGGATCATGGAGGTACGCTCAGTAATCCCATTTTGCTGCGGGGAGCCCTTTTGAAAGCGTGAACGACTGGAGGATGCCCTCCCCACGACAAAAGTCCTGCAGGAGGTCGGAGGAGAACTCACCACCTCTGTTAGAGTGCAGACGCAGGACAGGAAGGTCCTGGCAGAACCGCTCGCGGAGCTGGAGACGGACAGCGCGGATCCAAGGGATCAAGACATCAGGGACCTCCCCCTTGCTGCGCAAGGGGAAGACCGTGGTGTAACGCGAGTAGTCGTCAACAACCAGCAGATAGTACCGCTCCTGGTCCTGTCCATGGATGCGCGCTGGGTCTGCAGGGGAGCAGTCATCGAGGGAAACGAAGAGGAGTGAGGAGCGGCGCGCTGCCGCCCCTCGACGCAAGGAAGGCAGGGTGGCGCAGGCGAGGGTGGGAGGGGAGGCAGAGACCTGGGAAGACCAGAGACAAGGAGGCGGGAGTGCATGCCACGGAGGCGTGGCAGGGAGGGATGACCAAGGCGGTGGTGCCAAAGGAGAGTCTGGTGCGTGAGGAGGCGACACGAACAGGGGGCTGCTACCTGACCTGACGCGGACACCTGACCAGACGCAGCCACCTGAGTAGGCTCAGTAGTCAGTGTGTACAGGCTCGACCCAGGCCGACGGGTGAACGTGGCCAGGTGACGGCCCGTCCGTGCACACGTGCAGATCGACACACGCTGACCCCCAGGAGTGGTGGTAGTGATCATCGTATCCTGGAGAACAACTTTACTCACCAAGTTCGTAGAGAACGAGGGGAGGTGAAGACCTGAGAGTGAGCCAGACGGAACCGCCGGACACGGGAGAACAGTGGAGGAGTGTGCAAGAACTGGGCCTCCTGTGGGGTCGGCCAGGGAGACTGGAACAGGTGCAGGGAGTGGTGTGACTGTGGTACTGTCGCGAAAGAAGCAGCGGGAAGCACCTGAGTCAAGCATGAAGGTGTGCAAGGCCTCAGCAGGCGCAGTACCAGAGAGAGCAGACGCACTAGCACCTAGAGCAGCAGCCTCTATACCTGGGTCGGGCGGCACACACAGGTAACAGTCACCCTCAGCACTAACAGTCAAAGCATACATGGCAGCAAGAATAGCATCATAGTCAAGAGCAAAGATATCCACATCGGTCCTAAGCAGCTCTCGCTGGCAATGGGAAGCTCAGCCTCGTCGCCAAACTCTGCGCGCCAGGTGTCGTCAAGACAGGAGAAGCAGCGGTACTGAGTGTGACCAACCTTTCCGCATGCCTAACCAGCCCGATCACCTGTGTGAATGACATACGGGCAGCGAACACTTCCCCCAGACGCCCCACACTAAGCAAATCACTCACGAAGCTGTTGGGGCGTTAGGGTCTCGCGGGGACACTGCTGCTGCTACCTTTGGCCACTGCCAGGACCGCCCCTTTGGACCGCTCCACCCCGACCGCCACCACTTCCACCGCCACCACTCCCACTGCTGCCACCTCCGCGTCACCACTCCCACCGGTACCACCACCACCACCGACGGCCAGTCTACGGTCTCCACCAGGCACCTCGTGAGTGGCACGACACACTGAGGACGACACTTGCAGCTCTTGGGTTTGCTCCTTCGACTGCTGACCCGTCACTGTTTCTACGCACCGACACTTCGCTACCGCCGTTCTACATCCTCGTGTACGTCAACGACTTGGTCTTTGCTACTGCTGACACTGAGGGACTCGCCTTTATGAAGTTTGAGTTGTAGAAGAGACACACTTGGACCGACCTTGGTGAGCTGCGCAGCTATCTTGGCTTGCAGATCACTCGGGACACAGCACGGCGCACCATTACACTGACTCAGTCACACATGGTGCAGCAGGTCCTTCAGCGCTTCGGCTTCCGGTTCTCCTCGCCACAGCCCACTCCTCTGCCTACCGGTCACTCACTCTCAGCTCCACCTTCGGACGAGTCCGTAGAGCCGAGTGGCCCGTATCCAGAGCTTGTGGGCTGCCTCATGTACCTGATGACCTGCACTCGACCTGACCTTGCGTACCCTCTCAGCATCCTGGCACGCTACGTTGCGCCCAGGAGACACCGACCAGAGCAGTGGTGGGCTGCTAAGAGGGTGTTACGCTACTTGTGCAGTACATCGGGCATGGGGCTGGTGCTTGGAGGACGGGGTCCAGTTGTCCTCACTGGACACTCCGACGCTTCTTGGTGCGACGACCTGGCTACGCAGCGGTCGTCACAGGGTTACACCTTCAGCCTTAGCTCTGGTTCAGTTTCTTGGCGGTCCACCCGCTCGTCTTCTGTTCTCAGCTCCAGTTGTGAGGCTGAGATCTACGCGGGAGCCATGGCTGCATAGGATTTGCGTTGGTTGACCTACCTGTTGATTGACTTGGGTGAGCGGCCTCGTTCTCCTCCAGTCCTGTACGTCGACAACAAGGCCATGATTGCCTTGTGTGAGGAGCACCGACTGGAGCACAGAATGAAGCATATTGCCTTGTGCTACTTCCTCGCACGAGAGTTGCAGCAGCGTGGTCAGCTTCGTCTTGCTTACGTGGCCACTCAGGCCAAGACTGCTTATATCTTCACCAAGGCCCTTGGGTCTAGTGACCATCAGTGTTTTTGTACTGCTCTAGGTCTTGTGCCTACTCTGCCACACCTGCTCACTGCTTGACTTTGCTTGTACTGTGATCTATATTATACATGCATGCTTACTCTTGCTAGGTTGTGATCACTGTACTGTTTGCGTTTCTTTATAACTATGCTTGTGACCTGGCCTTGCGGCCACTTGCTTGTGCTCGGAATGCGTGGTGACGTTGTGATCCACCCTGAGATTTGCTTTGTTTCTTCTCTTGACTGGTCTTGTGACCGCCTGTTGTTCTCCCCCACTTTGCCTATGGGGTGTGTCAAAACATGTTGTGTTTATTGTTTGTAGGCTGTAGTGGGGTAGCCCATAAGGGGTACAACCCAATTTAGGGTTAGTACTTGTACCCATCTTTCTTTCAATGCAACTCATTCTCGTGTGCTATTCTGACAGTCTTGTCAACTCATTTGAGCAACGGTGCGAGGAAATTTATGGTTCGAGCAAGGTAGTTATGACGATTTAGTGTGTATATTTTTCGGGTTACGCGTTTCCCAACAATTTATAAGTTGGAGTGGTGGTAGCATGGAAATTATATCATTTATTTGATAACTTAATCTTTGTTTCGTACAGTTGTATGTGTATACACCCATCTGGATTAGGTGTACTGGAGTGTGGTGTGATGAATTATGTGGTCGATGGCTTTTGCTGATGCTGACCTCTAGCATCAAGCCATGTGGTTGTGCTTGACTGTCCCCATTTTACAGCTTGGCGAAGAAGCTAGCATCTCGGGTCGGGTATGGAGAGACGTGGGCCAACTTTACTGGAATGCAACTTTTGCATGTGCCCCTATTCGGTTGTATGCAACCGTGTCGATACCTTAGTTCTTCTTGGCATGGTTTGTCTTGTAACGCCACAGTGTAACAGCTGACGCAACACACAAAAGGGATTGACAAACCGCCATATTCGCGCGTTTCAAGTTATTTTTACAAGGGCTTCTTACCGCGCCGTACTTTGCACACTGATTCCTGCGAGCATTTTGTTTTCGCCACATGTGTATTAAAAAACAATAAAGTGGCAGCGGGCTTCTTCGAAATTCTACGCATGTCATTTTTAAAGTATTAATAAACAATATAAACCCCTATTGGATGGTATGCTGTCTAGGCGGGCATTAACCCTAAACACCATGAGGCAAGGTGTTTAGGGTTGATGCCTCTTAGAGGGCTTGCCGTCCGAGAGGGGTTTATTTCCCTTTCCAAAACTTTATCATATTGGGGAGCCCAGCCTCCCATGCAACGGACACGACGGGCAGAAATACACGATGCAAAAAACCACAAATGAACAGTAGTGCTCATATGACTGAAACGATTGCCCGAAGAAAGATAATTTTAGCGCAACGCTAAACTCGGTAAAAACCACTGGAAAAATAAAATACAAATATGTTTTAGGGAAATTTTTGTTTAACCTTATAACAGATGTATCGACACATTTGCATGCAACTGCATAATGGCACAGTATTGTTTTGCATGCCAGTGAAGTTGGCCGAGAGATTTGCTACCTTTGGAGGAAATGTGGAAGAAGCTTCACGCTGCGCTGGTGCTTGTCGTCAAAGTTTGACGACATTTGCGACCGCTTCGCATAAAGCCGCTCCACAAAGCGCGAGTCGAAGAGACTTATGGCATGGCATCTTATGGCCGTGGATAACATGCTTGGGCCCCCTTTGGCCCTACACGAATGGCCAAGATTGGTCGTGTCAGGTTCAGGCGTTCTGGAACTGGAAGCCTTCATTTGGCCACGCAGTGCGCACGAGCACCACAACCGCACACGCTTTGCCCAGTGTAGGGGCAGTTGCTCAACGCACGCACACAATCTGGACTGCGGGGGAAGGAAGGCAAGGGGGAAGTGGAGAAAGGAGGCTTCGTGCGGTGGTTGTATTGGGACGGGAACCCAACAAGGCCGGGCTGGGGCGAAGGCCGAACGGAGGCCCTCCCTATGCGGCGGAGCTTGCTTTGGGGGAGGCTTCTCCCGAGTCTCGCACTATTGTAGCTATAACGTGTAACGAGTTTTGTATAAATTTCAGGGTGCAGATTCCATGCTCCCACCAATTCCACTCTCACCAATTCCATTCCCCCACCAACACCGAACCATTCATCCTTCCTTCCACCAACTCTGCGCCGCGCTACCTACGCTCGGAGCTTCTTCCGCCATGGCATCTCGTAAGGTGCTCCTTTGCCTTGCGCTTGCGCTCGCGGTGCTTGCGGTGGCGGCGCCGCCCGCCTTCGGCGCTGACGCGAACGTCCTGGGAGATGAGAAACGCACATTGTCTCAAATTCATGTTTACCATGGTTCACGTGCATCCGTCGCTTACAACACAATGCAGCTTCCCGCCCGTTCTCTCAAACGATCTTTGTACGCACTGGGAACGAAATTTGTTCAACGCGGTTTTTTTTTTTTTTTTTTTTCCTCTCTGTTTTCGCAGGTGCCAACTTGAAGCTCAAGGCAAACTGCCGTGCGGTGTCCGACGACCACGACCACAGCTACGGCCACGACGACGACCATCACTACGGGGACAAAGACCACAACTAAAAGTCGCCCTCCAATTCGCTTTCCAAGTCGCCGCCAAGTCGCCCGGCAAGTGGCACGACGGCGACGACAACGACTGGTACCATCATTCGCCATCCAAGTCTCCTTCCCAGTCGCCCAGTAAGTCGCCGAGCCAGTCTCCTGGCAAGTGGCACGACTCCTCCGACGATGACAAGTGGCGCCGCTCGCTGTCGCCCAAGTCGCCGTCGCCCAAGTCGCCGTCGCCCAAGTCGCCGTCGCCCAAGTCGCCGTCGCCCAAGTCGCCGTCGCCTAAGTCTTCGTCACACAGGTGGCCCTCTAAGTCTCTGTTGCCCAAGTCGCCGTCCCCCAAGTCTCCGAGCAAGTCGCCTGGGAGTAAGTACGACAACGACCACCCCTGGAAGTCGCCGTCCAAGTCGCCTGTGTGGGGCAAGTCGTCGTCCAAGTCGCCCGTGTGGGGCAAGTTGCTTGGCAAGTACCACAACGACCACAACGACAACCACCACGACGATCATTACGACGATCAGTACGAGCGCCACTACAGCGCCGGAATGCCCAGCTGGCAGCACCGCTAAAGCGACAGTTGCGCAGAAGTACAAGAGAGGATCCATGTCGGCCGGTGGGCTTTGTGGGCTTCTGTGACTGATTGCACTGTTTTGGGTCGTGGTAGTAACCAGGTCGCTTCTGTGGTTGATTTCTGTGTGTGGGAGCTTTGTGTGGGGGCTTTAGGGCTATGGTTTCTTAGCGTGCGGGATGAAGTTGTAGTCGGGGAGACGGGACTTGTTTTGAGGATAATATAAGTTGTTATTATTATGGAATTGCTGGCGAAGGCTCCGAGGGTCTACAATGCGTCACTGGATGGTCATAACTATAAGGTGTGCATCTCTTGCAGCGAAGGGCCATCTCAAATTCATAGCGAATTTCAAGAGTCCACCAGCTCAGCTCAACTCAACCTTGACAAGTTTCTCTAGAGTAGGTACATCTATTGTTTGTCACCACTTTCAGAAAACGGTCCCATTCAATACGACACTTTCGGGACGCAAGGCTGCCTTCAGTTGCTTGGCTTGGCAGTTCAAGCTATACTCCATGTCAATCTATTACTAGGAGCTGCAGCAAGCACCAAGCTTTGGTGTGATTTCGCTGGACCCACAAGGGTGGGGAGATTTCGCTGCTTCTCGTCGGGTGTGCATGGCTCCTCGCCTGCTCTGACCATGACCCATGATCCATAACACATGACCCATGATCCATGACCCATGATCCATGATCCATGACCCATGACCTATAATCCATGATCCATGACCCATGACCCATGCACCATACCCCAAACACCATGCCCCATGCATCATGCCCCAAGCCCCATGCACCATAGCCCATGCCCCATGCCCCATGCACCATGCCCCATACCCCATGCACCATGCCCCATGCCCCATGCCCTGCATGACCCGTGAACCATCCGTCACCCCTCCTCCCCCAGCTACACGCCAGAGCAGGCCCCCTCCCCCTCTCCCCTCCTCCAGCTACTCACTAGAGCAGCTGTTCGGCGTAGTGGCAGGGGTGGTTCACTATGCGGACTTCCTGCCATGGTGTATGGGCTCTCATGTGCTCTGGCGCGCGCCTGACCACAGGGCTTGCCAGAGCAGAACAGATGTTTGACGTGGTGGCCGGGTCGAGCACTATTTTGACTTCCTCCCGTGGTGCGTGGGCTCCCATATGCTGTGGTGAGCACCTGAAGGCATGGAGGCGGAGCTGGAGATCGGCTTTCACATGCTGCGGGAGAAGTACCTCTCAAGGGTTACTTACAAGAGGCCATTGTATGTGACGGTGAGTGCTTTGTGATGAGGCGCCTCAGAAGCACCTCGGATGTTGGTATGGTGCTGAACGGCATGGAGGCGGAGCTGGAAATCGGCTTCCGCATGCTGCAGGAGAAGTACCTTTCACGAGTCACCTACGAGCGCCCACTCTTTGTGACGGTGAGTGTTCTTGTATCACTTAAGAAAGGTACAAAGTTCCATAGTTACATGGTTACATGAGTGCATGGTTACATGGTTAGATGTGTGCAAGGAACACATAGAGGCGGAACTGGAGATCGGGATTCAGATGCTGAGGGAGCTGCACCTCTCTCGCATGTCACCTACAAGCGGCCTTTGAGGCGCCTCAAAAGTCACCTACAAGCGGCCTTTGAGGTGCCTCAGAAGTCACCTACAAGCGGCCTTTGAGGCGCCTCAAAAGTCACCTACAAATGGCCACTCCTTGTGACACGACAGTGCGTACGGGTGAATGGTCTGTACCGCTGCCGTGTGGAGGGTTGTGAATGAGATGGATGAGTTCTACTTTTGACAATTCTAGAAAATAAAATCTTGTGAGAATTCTCAAAAGTATTTTCTTTAAAGAATTTTCAAAATTAAAATCTTTTGAGAATTCTCAAAAGTAAAATGTTTTGAGAATTCTCAAAAGTAAGGTCTCTACCGCTGTTATGTGGAGGGGTGTGATGGATGGGTGGCAGCTGGGGATTAGGTTTCAGATGATGTGGAAAAATACGTCTCGCTTGCCTCACACTTGTCCGCCTCTGCTGTTCTAACTCCACTATGCCATCCCCCACTCCCCTCTCAGAGTCGTTCCGCAGACTCGCCTCCCAGTGGTAATAACTCACCACTCACCTCTAATCGCCTTTTCAGTGGTGATAACTCGCCATTCATCTCTATATCACCACCTCGACACCCACTGGGAGTTTTCCCTGCCGCCTCCCCAGCTCCGGTCTCTCCTCAATGTGTTCCTGAATGCACTTCTTCCCTACCCCTTTCCCCATCCCATCAGACTCACTCCACTGACACAAGGCTATTCCACCATCTTGACAATCACTGGGAGTTCTCCCCTGCCCCCCCCCCCCCCCCCCCCGGCTCCTGCCTGCTCATTGCCTTTCTAAACGCTAGTGCTCGTCCTCCCTGGCCCTTCCACTTCCATCAGGCACGTTCCACTGACACGGGTCTCTTCCCTTCCACCACCTCGTCAACCACTGCTCCGGTGCTCACACCCCCTGCCTGTCTCGCACTTCTCTTGAATCTTTGCCCTTCAAATCCCCCCCAGGCTGGCTCCACTGACACGGGGCCATTCCACCATCTTGACAATCACTGGGAGTTCGCCCCTGGCCGCCTCCCAGGCTCCTGCCTGCTCTCCTTCTCCATTGACTTCCAAGTTCCGCTCGCTGCTCTACACCCAGGTGGGCTGAGCTCTACACCCAGGTGGGCTGAGCTCTACACCCATGTGGGCTGAGCTCCACACCAAGGTGGGCTGAGCTCTACACCCAGGTGGGCTCGGCTCTACACCCAGGTGGGCTCTACACCAATGTCTTTTCTCAGGGGCCTAGAAACACGCAATTTATATCAGCACACAGGTCTGGTTGCCGCTATAGCTCATTTGTCATATGTGTTTTTTCCAGGGTGTGCGGTTACTGTTCCGCGCGTCACAGTGAATGCTGTCGCATGTGGTATTGACATGAGTAATTCTAGTAGGCAAGTGGTGGTGCTTTTCCTAGATGCTCCTTTGCTTCCCTGTTGACTTTGGTTCTTTGCTCGCCATTAGTTGTCACGTTCATTGTGGCGAGCCTTGAGCCCATCCTTATGCTATGGTTTTCCCTTTGTCCCGCCTTGTCGTCCCCTCTATGTTGCAGTTGTTGGACCTTTTCTTCGATGAGGTTGTGAGCAACCTTGTCAATTCGTTTGAGCGGAGGTGCAAGAATATTTATGGTCCAAGCAGGGTAGTTATGACAAATTGATGTGTACATTGGTTGGGTTGTGCCATTCTCATATCTTATAATTTAGAAGCGTGCCAAAACTGAATATGATATCCTGGAGAGGTGCGTGGATGAGACTGTGAAGGGGACAATAATGGCAACAATGCTTCAGATATCTAAAATGTGTAGTATTTTCAAAAGGCTTACCACTTTAAAACCGGGGTGCACATTCAATCCAATTTCTTCAAAGGTTATCCCTTGACCGCACCAGTTACTAGGTTTCCTGGTAGTAAGCGCGGGGGAAACAAAACAAGGTGGGGCGGAAGAGAACGGAGTGGTGCAGTTTGGTAATCCCCCCCCCAAATTAGTGGTACCCTAAGGACGCGTTGAAAGTACAAATATCGCGGGATCGTCTGCATATATCGATCCCCACAATCGATTGGCCAGATCGATTGGCGAAACATGGCGACCGGTCAGTTGTAACGATCGCTCCTGAGATTGGGGTTTTTTGTTCCACACCCGAAAATGCTGGCCTGCCTGCGACGCGGGCCCAAATATACATGCGTCGTCCAAACATACCTGCGACAGACGCAGCCCACAGGGCAACCACCCTTGGCGATGTGATCACTTTGTAAGATGGTATCAGCAGTAGGTTCGCCGTTCCTAGGCCACACCTAGTCGCCGCCCTTCCTAAAACTCCGTCTCTAGCCTTGGTGCCCCCCCCCCCCCCCCCCCCCCCCCTACCCCCGTTTGCCGCCAATGCCTCCAGGTACTTGCGTTGGTGCACCCGCATGCACCGCTTCTCCACGTCTCGTTCGATGTGGAGCCCGAGGTAGAAGTTCACGTCCCCAAGGGACTTGCACTTGAACTTGTCTTGCAGCTTCAGCATCACCTCCTTCACAAGGTCAGAGGAGGGTGAGCCAGCAGGCCCGCCAGCGCCCTAGCCAGCATGACCGCCAGCGCCCTAGCCAGCAGGCCCGCCAGCGCCCTAGCCAGCAAGCCCGCCAGCCCCTTAGCCAGCACGCCCGCCAGCGCGCCCCGCCAGCGCCCCACGCCAGCGCGCCCCGCCAGCGCGCACGCCAGCGCGCACGCCAGCGCGCCCCGCCAGCGCGCACGCCAGCGCGCACGCCAGCGCGCCCTGCAAACGCGCACGCCAGCGCGCCCGCCAGCGCAAACGACAGTGCGCCCGCCAGCGCGCAGCGCCGCCCGCCCGTAGACCCGCCGCGCCGCTCGCCGGCCAGCGCGCCGTGCCGCCCGCCTGTCCGCATGTCGCGCCACCTGCCCGCCTGCACGCCTGCGCGCCTGCCCACACGCCACTGACTGTCTCACCCTCCCGCGGCTGGCAGCCGCGCTCTCCCACTTTCGCCCCTTATGGCGACCTCCCGAGTACTTCGTTTTGACCCTGAGGGGAGACCCATAGACTTTAGTACGTGGCTTACGCAGGCGCAGCGCCACCTTAAGAGCCAGCGGCAGGATGGCGTGCTGTCAGAGGTCCACTGGAGATCCCCGATGATCCTAGGGAAGGGTTACAGGCATGTTGGCCTGGGGGGTTATGGGCGCACTCACCCGCTACACAAACAAGCCCTTTTATCCCAGTGGTTAGTGGCTGGGATTCTGACATGGTATCAGAGCGAAGGTCTCGGGTTCGATTCCCGGTGTGTGCACTTCGGGCATCCCAGTGCGGGGGGGTGTCAGAGGTCCACTGGAGATCCCCGATTGATCCTAGGGAAGGGTTACAGGCACGTTGGCCTGGGGGGTTATGGGCGCACTCACCCGCTACACAAACAAGCCCTTTTATCCCAGTGGTTAGTGGCTGGGATTCTGACAACCTGTTCGCACACGCGT